ATGGAAATTGAGAATCACAACGGGCAAAACTGGGTACGCCGACGTCTCAAGAAAAATTGGGAGTGTGGAAATTTTATATTAAGTATATGACAAGAGGAACTCAGGTTCGCCTCTCATATATAGCATCTTAGATGTGGCTGGGTGTGTGTGATGCGCAATTATCCTCTCAACATTATTTAAAAATGGAGTGTATCTTTATAATAATGAACGACCAATAATTATTTATATTATAAGAAGAATATTTGGAATTTACTTAGGCTTATAACGGAATATTCTAAACTTTATATTGGAAAATAAAAAAAAAACCCCTTATGCACATAATCTCATATTAGGTCTGTGAAGTAGTAGACATTATTATCATGAATTAAAACAAAAAAAGTTAGGGGACATTATGAAAACCCACATGCAATCTGCTTGAAGAGCAATATATGCCCGGCTACCTTGAGTAGCTTTGAGGCCAAACCACAGCTTTTTGTACATTTGTGTGCTGGCATGCATTGATGCATGGGGCCTGATGCGTGAGCATTCACGTTCTTCTGCGCTTCACTCACGCGATCCATATAAAGTTTTTATTCTTTCTGATCAACCTTTTTCCAATTTAGAAAAAGAATAACGGGAACAAGGAAATCGTCAGAAGGTAATTTAAAATAGAAGAAACCAGGAACCCTAATTGGGCACTCATAGCACAAATACCCGAAAATAACCAACCTAACCCCTCAAAGAAGGAGGAGAATGAGAGTCGGAATTTGTAATATTATTACTATGTGAAGGTAATCGTGTGTGTTTTATTTTGTATTTATTATTCCCTCATCTTTTAAAAACATATATAATTAAGATCTTCGTTACCTGCTATTAAACCCAAAAGCGGGACAAAGAAAAGGACTAAGAAGAGAAAGAAAGGGTTGTTGTGAAATTAATATACTGCATATGGCAAGGACATAGAGGACCCAGAGCGAGATGGTTTAAATGTGTGGGTACTGCCTTTTCAAACCAGTTTTCGGGTCTGATTTAAATTTGCCTGTCTTTTGAAGGTTTTATGTTTTATTCCTTAGCATATCGACAAGCAGAAGATGCCAAGTTGAATGTGTATGTAGTGGAGGGGGCTGAAACGAAAGGTCAGAGTTTGCGTGATTGAGGGGACAACTGCCACATAAATATATGTCACACCATTTGCAGGATATCTGTTTAGGGATTGGGACCCCACATTCGGCTAATGAAAACGGGACCTTGGACCCTATTAATTTTGGGAAATATCGTACCTCTTCTCTTCTCTATCCTCTCTCGGGACTCGTCTTATTTATTATAGTACGTGTGTCGTATTACATACACAGCATATATGTTCCACTTGGTTGTTTTTGGTGAGTTCATTCATATTATTTGCTCACTAGCATCAAGATAGGATGGCATCAAAGCCCATCTAAAGATAATATCACGGTCACAATCATAGAATTGAAATAAAGTTGGCAATCTTTTTGTACGTCAAAGTAACTTAACAGTGAAAAAAATATTACAAGGGGTAAAAAGGCGTATTGGTGGATTTTTTTTGTTTGCTGCTAATCCTGAGTGATCGACAATCCTCCAATTCCAAGTGGTAAATATGGCCAAAGAATGATAAAGTACAATTTCGAGGCCGTTTGTAATGTTAGCCTTGTATACGATAAGGGACTGACTACTAGAAGGGCACTAATAAGCTTAAACAGACTAATACAAGGATGTCCCAATTAACTCTACAACCCGTTCAGTAGTTCAAAAGTCAACGTCAGCACCAACAGCTAATTAGAGTTGTGCTAGCCAACCAAAGAACTTGGCCTAAAGGAAACAAAATTCCGGTGGAAGCTTGATTTCCACCAGTTTCTTATGTTGACCCTTGCGTTCACATGTCACACCGATGAATCCAATGGCGACAGAGAATTTCCTTACACCCAAACTCTCTTACTTCCCACCAAACATTAATGATAAGAAAGCCCAGGTATAGAAATTTCACAGGTGAGGTAAGCTTTTCAACCAAAATTTAGTAATTACGAGACATTTGTACCAGCTGTCCTATTTTTCATTTATCTTTACTCCACATTGACGATAAAAAGTGTATTGTTTATTCTTATGTTCTTGCCACAAGAAAAAAAGAAACTTCAATTTAATCCATAATTTAATTATATTTGTGTAAATTCTATAAATTACAAATTCTTTTTGGGCGCGGCCGTACATGAGAAGCTAATTTATGTATACTGGTGTGACTCATGAAGTTTTTTACGAGGTGCCAATTTTGAAAGGCTCTAAAAGCTTATATATATAAATGACAGGTACAAAAAAAAAATGCTTATACTTTAAACAATATCCAATTGTCATTCTAAGCTTCAATAAAAAAAAAAGGCATTACAATTAACTTACAATTGTTGTGATGAGTCATATCATGAAAACCAAATCAAACCAAGAAAAGGAAAGAGAAAGAATGTACAAGCCCACGAATGAGTGCTGATGTTATTTAAAGAATTGTTGTTTTAAAACCCACGGAAAAGAATTGCTTCAAGGAAAGGAATTACGTGTTAACGCCCAAAATGAAAGCCTTTTTGCAAGCCCGAGGAATTCGGTACCTCAGGTCTAGTTTTCTAATGACTTTTAAGCTAGCCTGCATGGACATAGATTTGGCTAAAGACCGTCTATAAAACAATTTGAGGGCACCACACCAACTTGAACAGAGATGACATTTGCAAATAGCACACCACACTGTTTCCGGTGTAATTTTAATTCACCCAAATTAAAAGAAAGTCCAAATTCGTTTCACTTGTCAAGGCTAAGACACTTTATAAACTTTTAATAACACTGTTTCGTGTTATAATTAAGCACCACCATGTTATATATGGTGATTTTTCAAATTCGTTCTTGAAACTTGATATGAAACAACATTGGGCACACCCTTCACTTTGCAAAGTGTACGTGACCCTATCCATACTAATTGTTGCGGGTTTAAGGCTTCTAAATTGTTGGAATTTCGGAGTCAAGTGTCAAGAAACTGGTGAAGAAAGCTCCAAAAAAGAAAAAGAAAAAAAAGAAACTGGTGACACCAAAAAAGAAAAAAGAAGCCACATATTTCTATTCGAACCAAAGCATAAGGTACAACATAAAATAAAATAAAACTTGAAGCATACCTGATCAATCCATAGGGATTAGTTACACAATAAATAAATGAATAAATATCACATTACATGAAAAATGAAAAGTTCAACACAAACAACAAGGACCACACACACATATATAGTGAGATTATATGAAGAAACTAAAAAAAAAAAAAAAAAAAAAAAAAACACCACCAAAAAGAAAAAATTCAGTCATAGAAATATGCCATGCCGTTGCAGAGAGGAGGGTTGATCAAATTTGCATAACAGATAAGTCCTCTTCAGTTCTCAGGCATTGAGATCCAACACTGGGGCACATGAAACCCTTATGTGCGATGGCGCGATTTCCAAGCTCCAACCTTAAACCTAATCCTTGCCTTTAGCCAAACATCAAACTGGATCTTGCCTGTTCTTTTCTGCACGCTGTAATCGTTAGAGACCGAGCTGGGCAGTGGCAGGGAATGAGCTGCTGCAATTCCTTCTTGACGTTGGTACTATGTGCGTCCTACGGCTTTCGATGGGCTGCCTCTCTTTTCTTTTTTTTTTTTTTTTTTTTTTTTTTTTTTTTTTTTTTTTTTTTTTTTTTTTTTTTTTTTTTTTTTTTTTTTTTTTTTTTTTTTTTTTTTTTTTTTTTTTTTTTTTTTTTTTTTTTTTTTTTTTTTTTTTTTTTTTTTTTTTTTTTTTTTTTTTTTTTTTTTTTTTTTTTTTTTTTTTTTTTTTTTTTTTTTTTTTTTTTTTTTTTTTTTTTTTTTTTTTTTTTTTTTTTTTTTTTTTTTTTTTTTTTTTTTTTTTTTTTTTTTTTTTTTTTTTTTTTTTTTTTTTTTTTTTTTTTTTTTTTTTTTTTTTTTTTTTTTTTTTTTTTTTTTTTTTTTTTTTTTTTTTTTTTTTTTTTTTTTTTTTTTTTTTTTTTTTTTTTTTTTTTTTAGAAGCAGAACAAAAAACAGAGAGAAAAAGAGATTGGAGCAAAACCCTATGATGCCTATATAAATGTTAACTTAACTTAGTAACTAGTGTTCAAGTTACAGTACAGAATAAGCACGGATCACTCAACTGCGGGTGCTCTACACATCGGACACTTTCCGCTACTCTCAACCAATTCGGGTAGCACATTTGAAACATGCACACATGTGCCCGCATCTGCAAGACGAAATGAACAGAAATTGAAAAACGATGTTACAATCTCCACATATCCAACAATTCGAATCACAAAGGTGCACATTGTGGAGTTTTACCTGTACAGTAAAGAATCATACTTCTATCACAACATATACAGCAAATTCCTTTCCTTACATGATCCCATTTAGAGCCATCTTCTAGCAGACCATCTTCACACAACCCGCAGAAGCAGACACCTCTCACAGTCAACTTAAGGAAAGCAAGTAATGGACCGAAGTTTTAGAGAATTGTTCACCAAACCAACAACCAAATAAGGCAAAATGACAAGGGATCCACAGCAGGAGATGGGAGCAAAGTTTTAAAAGGAGAGGATTAGGGTTTACAAAATCTAATTCGTGGTTATGTCATACAGGTTAGGATTTTATCTTTTGAATGTTTTTGGTCAAATGATGTTTTCATTGCAAAAATAGCACATTACAGACCTAGCCCAAGATTTGGGAGGGCAGCATAGGCCCATAAGTAAACATCAATCTTCTTCTTAAATGAAACGTAACGTGTTGTATACGGTGGGCCGGAACAAACTGATGGAGTTCTAAGACATTAAAGCAGAAGCAACACCATTGATAGAAAAACCAATCAGACATAATTTCATTGCAACTATCCAATCAGAGTTAGTAAAGCTATCCTAGAGGTGGTCAGTGTAGAGTAAAAAGTTCACCATAAAAAACAACTATGTAAAATATGCTTAAGTGCATCAAACTATTGACAAACCTTGTGAACCAGATGATCTATTCAGGGCATCAGAAACTTCTTGTCTTATTGAGCGCTGCAACTCGAGTTGCATATCCATGCAGGCTTCTAACATCCTTTGCAAGTTATTCATCCTCTGTTGTAGCCTACCCATGTCAATCCTCATATCGTTAATTATCTCCCAGTCCTGTATCAGTAAGCAAATTGTAAATTTACTAAGCCAAAAGGTAGGCGTCAAGAATATAAGTGACTTGATATCGAATTATGTGAACACAAGATGCAAGAAAAATTATGTGAACTTACAATTCCAAAACGTTGACGCATGTCATGCTGTGGCCAATTATCAGGGTGTGACTCCTGGTCCCAAAGTGGCGAGGGAGGTATTTGCTGTGATGGCAGCACAGTACTAGGACTAGGACTCTCAACAGAATCCACTTGACCCTCATTTTGATATCCACCAGTCTGCTCTAGATCCTGTTCTGCAGATTCAGGAGAAGGTGATGTATCATCTAGCTCCCAGTCAATGGTAGCATGACCTTGTCTTTCCACATATGATTGTATAAGTCGATCTAGATTCTGACGGAAAACCACTACTAAGAAGATTAGAAACCCTTCTCCTGCAACATTAATAAGATTTCCATGAGAAAAGCTGATCCTTCAGAAGCCCAAAGCATAATCATGAATTAATAAATTTAATACCGCTTAGGAGTTCCCTTATCTCTGTACTATGAGCATTATCGTCATCAGGAAAATAAAAGGTATCGATCTGTCTGACTGGATCAGCATCCTGGTCAGATGGCTCTTCTAACCAACTGTGAACAGCCTCTTGAAAACCACTTTCCTCGTGCCACACGTCACTAACTTCTTCAAGATGACTGTTTTCTCTATCCCCGCCCTCCAACAACTCTTGGGACCATTCATTACCAGCAGTTTCCTGCTGATCTCCAATTGTAATTCGACCAACATTTTCTCTCAAATCATTATACTCAGCAACAGGCTCTTCCCAGTCTAATTCCTCATTTTCTGAAACTCGATCCTGCCATGTTGTACCTGAGAAGTAAATTCTTGAAAATTTACAACCCATTGAAAATTGACATCCCCAACCATGTGCCTTGTAAATTATATGTATCACCAGATTGTTCACAGATTACACTTTCCTCCCCACTTGGCTCAGATTCATTAGATACATCAATGACTTCTCTCATGTTACTGTGTTCACCAGCATCATTTTGTGAAGTTTCTAAGGGCTGCTCAACAGCAGTGGTTGCCTGTAAGTTCCCAATCATATTACTACCAGTACCCTCACTCCTTTCGACAATGTCAAAAATGGTTGAGCAATCCCCGTCTCTTACGACATTATCTGGAAACTTCTTCCTGCCAACCTTCCACAGGAACATTAGATCTTGTGAATCTATATCCAGAATGGTGTTGCCACCTAAATCACCCTACCATTTGACATTCCACATCTATCATGTCCTCTGTCATCACTTGCTCTTCATTTGCGTCAGATTGTTCAAAAAAACCATGTACCTCTTGTAAATTGTCTTCTTCAACGTGTCCATTTCTACTACCACTAGACACACTTGAAGATGTCTCAGAATGGCTGCTGCTTACTTGACCACATGCAGTATTATCCAATCTGGAGCAAAAACCTTCCCTACTCCAAAGAATAGATGCCCAAATATCAATGAGAAAATAAATAAAAGCATTTTTCTACATAAGAAACAAAAAATGAATGAAGAAATTAATTCAGTATTAGTCAATGAAATAATCCAGACAGCTTCGAGAATAAAAGAAGAAAAAAGTTAATGGATTTGCATGACCACAATCTATAATTGATAATAATATAGAAGATTAAGATGCTCTAAAGGTGAAAGTCTATAATATATGCATACATACATGAACATGAGTATCTATTGCAGGGCAACATCATACTGGAACAGTGATAGAGATTCAATTTCACCATGTCGAAAGTGATTTATATCTGTTTTAACACTTCAAATTCTACAAAACTAGTAATCAAGACAGGAAACACAAATAACTACATCTTGCCCACTACTTAAAATTGTACCAAGGAATTAATCTGTTTATTTAACTATAGACCAAACTCGCCAGTGCAAGCTAATAGCTATAGTTTGTCATCTTTCCAACAATCAAATATAAAATTTACAATCTGCCCATTGTAATTTAGACTTAATCATCTTTCTATAGTGGACCACCCTTCAAGCCCCATAAAAACTCACACATATTATACCAAAAACACTTTCACGATTAGAAAGGGGTGGAAGAATGGGTTTACTGCATACCATTTTTGTATATCACTTTTGGCTAAATTCAATGATTATCAAAAGTCGTGCATCAACAACTCTTGGAAGAAGAATAATTAGAAAACTTAGACTTGAGGTGTCCCAAATCATTTTTACTTCAATAAATGCAAAGATGATACAAATTATACAGAAAACAAAAGAGGATCACAAGGATGGGTTAATTCATCATTACGAGATGATGCAATTCCACCAATTCATTGCGTAAAACTTACAAACACATCTCAGGTGTATATAAAATGGAGGTCACACGATACTAAGAAAAAAAATTAGAGCATAAAAGCTTTGCAAAGAAAATTAAAGATATCATTCTTATTAATTAAAGCAGGGAAAATATTACCTTAGACCAGAGACTGTGTGTCTTTGCCTCAATAAGCCTAGTTCATTTTCAGCCATGGAAGTGGGTCTCTCATTCTCAATCACTCTACCATTTCGTAAGAATCTTCCTCTAAGCAATGACTGCGAGAGAAAAGCAAAAAAAGAAAAAACATGTTAAGTAACAAGAAAAGTTTTCTATGCCTAGAAACCAGTAGAAATGCACAGGCATAACAAAGCATCATTACACTTCTAGAACATGATACTAGCATATTGATTTCTTGTCGCTAAGGATGTCTCTATGGGTATTCACATTATCCAATGACTATCGAATACCGTACATAAAAAATTTCACCAAAATGAGATTGTACGCTCAAGTATAACAAACTCAAAAACCCATTTTCAAAGAGTAACTCTATGATAAGCAACTGAAGATGCGGGAAGCATAATAACAATGAACCTGAATGCGATTGCGGTGAGCAAAATGTGATACGGCCTGGTGCTCCAACAATTCTTGAAGTTCTCTTTGCCTTTCCCTCTCAGCCTTCTTTAACATATCCAGCAGAGGCTGTCTACCGCATAACTTGCGAATGCCCCTTCGCGTGATCTCAGACCGGCCTTCAGTTTGGTTAACAACCAATCCATCACGAACTCGTTCAATTTGATTACCAATTTCAGCAGGCTGTTCTCCACTATTGTCACCAGAAGCACCTCTCTGCTGGCTGTTAATTTGCACCCACTCCCTTACAATTCTGACCCTCTCCTGTTCAGTTTCACCAAGCCATTCTGCCCTTGAACTGTTACTCATATTAGAAACACTTGAACTACACTCAGCCACACCACAATTCATCCATTCCCTGAAAACTTGCCTCACCCTCCCCCTTTCAACCTCCCCAAAATCAGAATGCTCACTGCTAAAATTGCTACAGTTCTCATGTTCATTGGATGACCCAATTTGACCTTGAGACCATAATCTGCACTCACTCTCCGCCACACTTTCATCCTCTAAGTCACCTGTGTGTTCACTACCGTGGCCTTCAGCAGCATCTGCTCTTGAGGTGTCATCTATCAACCTATCACTTCTTTGTTGAAGCAACCTTTCACTGATTCTCTCTTGGGCACGACTCACCACATGCTCATCCTCAAGCTCTCGCCACATTTGTAGTAGCGAGGATGGGCGGGTGTTTACCCTCCCTTCATTGCCTATCCGTCTAGATGCGTGAGACTGAGAGTCTCGAAGAATAGAAGGCTCGAGCACAGAAACATTGTGTAGACCAGCAATAGCCATTGTCCAAGATCCAAACTAATAATTAGACCTTAAACTCATCTGTATAAAATGCATATTAAAATTGCATTTCTTTACAGGAATTACAACAAGGTGATTCTTTCAAAAATCAGATCATCAAACTCAAACGAAATTAGCCAAGGTCATAGCTATCATCCCTGTCATAATGGCCACATGAAGATGATAAACATACTCATCCAATCTAACCAGCATTAAATCATCCAACCCCATAAAAATTCACCATGACGTGATTGCTTTCTTCACTTGTCGCTGCATTTGGGAAAAGAATAAGAAACAAAAATCAACATATTTTTCCTTTTAAAGCTTTAACTCATTACGAAGTTGTAGAAAGATAAACCATTTACATAAAATAAAATTCCAATTAAATACCTTAGACGTTAAAAAGCAGAAATTGAACAAACAAACAATCTTGCTAAAGTCCAAAACTCCGAAACCACCGGAGTCATAAATCTATTCAACTCCACAATGCCTCTGTTTGGTCTCTGAGAAATTTTACAAAATGACAAGAAACTAAGGCACAGAATCCCCTATCCCTCAGAGACACAAACAACCCAACAGCACATTCAGACTCAGTCAACCTTGGACTTCCCACACCTAACAACCATAACCGGAGATTCAAAGGTTTATTTTCCATCATTTTCCCTACCTTTCCCGGAAACCAAACAGCCAGTAAATGAAGATTCAATCAAATTTCAAATCGACATTGCAAATCACTCAAGAGAAAAACGATAAATGACCGAATAGAACATGAACCGCGCGATGTTATTGAGCAATTTAAAAAGCGAAGATTAAAAAAAGGTACCGGTGAAGCTCTCTGCCTCTTGATTTGGGAGTAAAGGAAACGAAACCCTAGCTGTGTAGAAAGTAACAGTGAGAGAGAGAGAGAGAGAGAATGGAAATTTCAAAGAGAGAGAGAGAGAGAGAGAGAGGGAAGAGCGGCGATTTTCCGAAGAATAAATGGAAACACGTCACCGTTGAGAGTCTTCCCCCTAAATATTGCCGTAACGCAAACGTCTTAAATTTTGGGGGAGCCCGCCAGGGGCTCCCACGTGTCACCTGTCTGTTTGTACCGGTCATTTTACGAAACCTTCCAAATCTTAAATTTAACGGGAAGTGGGGAACAAGCCTGAGAGATAGAAACGGCGCCGCTTCGGGTTTCACTCCTTTTGTGATGTGGCGCCGTTTAGCCAGCTTCCTTTTGTAAGGATCTCAGTGTCGTATTAGGAAGTGGGCTCCTTTTATCATTCCATTTTATTAGCCAAAAGAAATTATCATTTAAAAAATAAATAAAAAATTATCATTTAATTATTGGTTATGTGTTCTGTTTGCTTCCATTTGGATGGAGATGTTGTACGGCATGACACATTTTTCACCATACATTAATTTGTAGGAAAATCCTGACCTAAAAAATAATAATAAAAAAAATTGTAGGAAATTGAATAATATTATATTCAAAGAATAAAATATAGTATTTTTTCTATAATATAATATCATTCTAGATGTTTTATAATATTGTATGATAAAGATGTGGCAACCAATGGACATGGAGGATGAGCTCAAAATATATGACCATGAGCATGACAGTGAAGTTTATTTAGTGACAGTTTCTTTACCAACACTGCATTGTTTATTACATCTTCTATAGAATTGAAAATCTTACCTTTATGAAAGATATATGGTGACTAAATAAGGTACAAATAAGGTTATTCAATAATTTACTAGTTAGTTCGTATTATCGTAATGTCTTATTTGCTGTGAATAAATAAAGTCTATAATGAGCTCCGAAAGAAAATAAATGAAACGTTGTCATATTAGTTGGTGTAATACGGTTAGTGTCTGTAACATTTACTCAAAACGTAAAGTATTGAATTCATTATAAAGAGAGACCCCAAGTTGAATTCAGTATGTGGCCCTATGGTGTACATAAAAGCTGAAAACAATGCCTTTTAGATGGTGCATTAGGCTGGTGAAATCTATGAGTGGATCGAAATCTTGAATTATGTAGTTGTATAAGAAGTTGTGACTTCTTGGTTTTTGGTAATTAGACAGATTGAGTCTTCTTAGTCCTAAAGCAATTGAAGGCTTCATTGAATTCAAATCCCTTTTCACCAACCTTCTCTTCCTCGTCATGCTTGCTCAAGCTCGACAATGATTGGTTCTGATATAAATATTTTTATATATATTTAAGATGTATGGAATTGCCCAAGTACACCTAAGCCTTCTTGATTAGTATAACAAAAGGAGATTGCTATAATTAGTGACTCCTTTTAGCCTGTTAATTAACACATTAGAGAAAGGCTGTTGCCTGTTTGCCTGTTGAGTGTTGGTCTTCTATCAAATTTTTCCGACCAAAAGAAAATTTATCAGACTAAAAATCCATTAAAAAAAATATATATAGTGTTGACTTGACTGTTGCCAACCATGTCGCTGACACTGGTTTATAAATATAATAAATGAATGAATCATTATTAGGGTTAGCTCAAACCTCCAACCAAATTTTGATGGAATTGAGTAATCACAACGTGGCCAAACTGGGTCCTCGATCGTCTTCAAGAAAACTTGGGTGGAACTTTTATATTAAATTAATATGATCAAGAGGACTCAGGTTCGAATATCATATATAGCATCTTAGATGTGTGGGTGTGTGTGAGAGAAATTATCCTCTCCCATTATTTAAACTGTCGCTTATATTTAAAAAGAACGACCAATAATTATGTTATATTATAAGAATGAATATTCTTGAATTTTCTCTTAGGTTATAAATGAATATTCTAAATTTTATCATTGGAAAATAAAAAAAACCCCTTTATGCACATAATATCATATTATGTCTTTGAAGTAGTAGACATTATATGATTAATTAAAAAAAAAAGTAGGGAGGCATTATGAAACCCACATGCAATCTGCTTGCAAGAGCTAATATATGGCCCCGGCTACTTGAGTAGCTTTGAGGCCAAACCCCACAGCTTTTGCTACATCTTGTTTTGCTTGCATGCATGATGCATGGGTCCTAGATTGCGTGAGCATTCACGTTCTTCTGCCGCTCACTCACTTCGATCACATATAAAGTTTTCTTTTATTCTTTATGATCAACCGTTATTTCAATATTAGAAAAAGAAATATCACGGGAACAAGAAACTAGTAATGAAGTGTAATTTAAATAGAAGAACCCCGGAACCCTAATTAAGGACACTTAATAGCAAAAATACCCTAAAATAAAATAACCTAACCCTCAAAGTAATGAGGAGAATGAGAGTCGAATTCTGTATATATTATTATATGTGAAGGTAAATGCGTGTGTTTTATTTTGTATTTATTTATTCCCTCAATTCTTTTTAAAAAAATATATAATTAAAATCTCTCTTTACCTATCTATTTAACCCAAAAATGCGGGACAAAGAAAGACTATAGAAGTAGAAAGAAGATGGTTGTGAAATTAATATCTGCATATGGCCAAGGACATAGAGACACAGAGAGAGATGGTTTACAATGTGTTAGGTTACCTGTCTTTCAAAACCAGTTTTCTTGTCGATTTAATTTGGCCCTTCTCTTTTGAATGTTTTATGTTTTATTTCCTTAGCAATATCTGACAAAGCAGAAAGAGCCCAAGTTGACTGTGTATGTAGTGGAGGGGTCTGGAAACGAAAGGTCAGGTTTGCTTTGCTTTGAGGGGACAACTGCCACATCAATATATGTCACACATTTGCAGGATATCTGTTTAGGGATTGGACCCCAACATTGGCCTAATGAAAAAGGGCTGGACCTTATTATTTTGGGAAATATCGTTCCTCTCTCTCTCTCTCTCTCTCTCTGGGACTGTCTTATATTATATAGTACGTGTGTCCTATTACATAACATGCATATATGTCCCACTTTGGTTGTTCTGGTGAGTTCATTCATATTATTTGCTCACTTAGCATCAAGTAAGGATTGCATCAAAGTCCCATCTAAAGATAATATCAAGTTCACAATCACTAGAATTGAAACATAATTTGGCAATCTTTTTTACGTCAAAGTAACTCTAACAGTGAAAAATATATTACAAGAGGGTAAAAAGTCGTATTGTGATTGCTGCTAATCATGAGTGATCGACAATCCTCCAATTCCAAGTTAGTAAATATGCCAAAGAAATGATAATTACAATTGAGGCCGTTGTAATTGTTAGCCTTTTATACGATAGAGACTTGACTACTAGGGCACTAATTATAGCTTAACATACTAATACAAGATGTCCCAATTAACTCTACAACCTGTCATTAGTTCAAATGTACCACGTCAGCACCATATCAGCTAATTAGAGTTGTTCTAGCCAACCAAATAACTTGGCCTAAAGGAAAACAAAAAATTCATGTGGAAGCTTGATTTCCACCAGTTCTTATGTTGACCTTCGTTCACATGTCACACCTAATGAATAAAATTGACAGAGAATTCTCATACACCCAAACTTCTTACTCCCACCAAACATTAATTATACAGAAAGCCAGGTATATAAATTTCAGTGAGGTAAGCTTTTCAACCAACATTTTAGTGAATTCGAGACATTTGTAAGCTTTCACTATTTTTCCATTAATCTTTACTCCACATTGACGATAAAAGTTTAATTGTTTATTCTTATGTTCCTTGCACACAAGAAAAAAAGAAACTTCAATTTAATCCATACTTTAATTATATTTGTTTAAATCTATAAATTAAAAATATTTTTGGATCTCGAGCCTTTACATTGAGAAGATCATTTATGTATACTGGTGGACTCATGAAGTTTTTAAAGGAGGTGCAATTTTGAAAGGCTAAAAGCTTTATATATATAAAATGACAACAAAAAATGCTTATAATTTAAACAATACCAATGTCATTCATAAGTCATATAAAAAAAATTGCATTACAATTAACTTACAATTGTTGCTGATGATGTTTCATATCATGAAAACATCAAACAAAGAAAAGAAGAAGAAAGAATTGCTTAAAGCCCACGAAATGATTGCCTTGTTTAAAGAATTGTTGTTTAAAACCCACGGAAAGAATTGCTTCAAGAAAGAATTATTGTTTAAAGCCCACAAAATGAAAGCCTTTTTGAAAGCCCATGAATTCGGTTACCTCCTTTCTTTTTCTTTTTCGCTCTAGCTCAAAATGACGTTGTTTTGGTCATGACTTTAAAATAATAATAAATAAATAAAAAGCACGCTGCACTGCTGACTGCTAGCTGCATGGACATAGTTTGGCTAAGACATTCTATCAAACACTTTGAGTGCACCACCACCAACTTGAACAGAGATACAATTTGAAGCACCACCACTGTTTCCGTGTTATAATTTTACTTCACCCAAATTAAGACAGTCCAAATTCGTTCACTTGTTCAAGGCTAAGACATTCTATCAAACACTTTTACTAACACTGTTTCCGTGTTATAATTTGAAGCACCACCACTTTTATATATGGTGACTTGTTCAAATTCGTTCTGAAACTTGATACTGAATACAACATTAGGGCATCACACTTCACTTGCAATTGATACGTGACAATATCCATTAATAAAATTGTTGCTGGGTCTTTAATGATTTCTAAATTGTTGGAATTTCGGAGTCAAAGTGTCAAGAAACTGGTGAAGAAATTGCTCAAAAAAGAAAAAAGAAAAAAAGAAACTGGTGACAAAAAAGAAAAAAGAAGCCCACATATTTTCTATTTCGAACCAAAGCCCATAAGGTACAACATAAAATAAAATAAAAACTTGAAGCATACCTGATCAATCCATATGGATTTAGTTACACAATAAATAAATGAATAAATATCACAATTACATGAAAAATGAAAAGTTCAACACAACAACAATGACCACACACACATATATAGTTGAGGATTATATGAAGGAAACTAAAATTAAAAAAAAACTCCCAAACAACAGAGAAAAATTCAGTCATAGAAATATGCATGCAGTTGCAGAGAGAGGGTTGATCAAATTTCTGCATAACAGTAAGTCCTCTTCAAGTTCTTAGGCCTTGAAGGCTCCAACACTGGGGCACATGAAACCCTTAATGTGCGATGGCGCGATTTCCAAGCTCCAACCTTAAACCTAATCCTTGCCTTTAGCCAAACATCAAACTGGATCTTGCCTGTTCTTTTCTCAAGCTGTAGATCGTTAGAGACAGAGCTGGGCAGTGCAGTGGAATGAGCTGTGAACTTGACGTTGAATCGGGTCACGTTTCGATGGCGCTGGTAGAAGGGATCAACCCCAGAAAATGCCAGTGTCTGGTCATTGTAGTTCACAGTGGCTTGAATGGAGTCATAGTATATGGAAACTCTCTTGTTGGGATTGTAGGCTCTTAAGACAAAATCAAAGTCGGCAGAGAGGTGGTCATTGGTTAGGTTGAAGTTTTGGATTGAGCCAGCTTCAATGGTGTAAACAAGGCGCTTGGGCTTGAGAATTAGCCAAGTGATGAGCACCACAAGACCCAAGAGGACAATGCAAGCTAGCAAGACTATGGCAATGAGTCTAATTGGATTTGATCTTGACTTTGGTGCTACTGAGGGCTGTGATGTAGAGGTAGGCATTTTGCACAAAATTTTTGGACTGAAATTTGGACCGCTCCTGAAATTTGTTGCTTGGTGGGTGCACCTCTCAAATGAGCTGATATAAGAAAAATCTTGAGGTTCTTTTTCTCTGTCACCATGACACTTTTTCTCTTTTCGTTTCTTGCATGAAACTCAAGACATCTGGATAAAGGGCTGAGGCTGCCAGTCCAGTTTGTTCTTTTCTTCAGCTCTGGATGTCTTAAGATTAAGATTTGAGAAGTATTTTATGTATGTGATTGTGACAGTTGAGAGCAAAATCATAGTATTCTGATTCTGAAGACATTGGCTGTGCTGTCACCTGAACTACTTTTCTACCAAGAGAAATATGCTAAAGACTGTGGAGTGGACCTCACAAGAAGAAGTAAAGAAAGGAATATACTTGCATGGTGGCAAAAGTACCATTTTAATATCATTTGCTTCAAAGTCACTAGTATTAGTATGTGATTAGATATCCATCATGTTCCTATCAAAACCATGTTTATTGTTATTATTATTATTAGTGTAATAATTGTATGATATTTTATTCTTGGTTCTTGCTTTGCCTCCAAGGTATACTAAAACCACTCTTGTAAGTTGCTCACTTTGTTCTGTTATTCCCATCCCATCAGAGCCCCCCAAAAAGGAAAAGAAGAAGAAAATTAATATAGGATAGAGTTATCAAACAGAGGACTGCTTCATTGGCTGCAGCTGCTCATTGGATGTAAGTTTTTGAAAGGCACCAGTCACATAGTTGAATTGAAAGAATTGATTGATAAAGAAAGAAGGAAAGGAGATTTTTCTCATTCCAAAGCCAAACTGTGTTGCAAGCAGATTAAATTCTATGGATTGAAAGGAATTAGGATGATCTGTTTATGGTTCTATTTCTGTGGGGTCATACATTTGTTAATGGTTTTGTGCTAATATCTGTGGGTTTTCAATGAAAATATCATAGAGGCCTGAAACGACGTAATTTTGGACTTTAATACAATATATCAATATAGAAAACATAACAAACCATGTGAAATCTTTTGAGAGTTTATCTTGTTTTGAAGCTCTTGCCTTCCAAGTATGTAACTTTTTTTATTTCGACATAGGAGGGGGATTCGAACTTTTATCTCTTCCAACATTGTGAACATACCATTAGATTAGAAGTTAGTTGGTAAATGTTCTAAACCCTTTTTCGAGTTATTTTCAACTAATCGGCATAATAACTACTTCGCACAACAAATTGATAATCTATTACTTTGTCCATGTCCTACTAGCTTGGCTTCATAGTTTGCACTTGAGCTAGGCATTGTTCAAGGGTGGAGCCACCTTATGCTCAGGGAGGCAAGAACCCTAACTCTGACGATCTAACTTTGAAATCCTTTGCACCAATTGCCTTATGGCTCTCTTCTTGGGCTTCCGGGCTTTCATTCATGGGCTTGAAGAATTACAACCCAACAAGACACACTTTACACATAATGTTATTTTAACATTTGAACTTTGATCAAACAAACTTGAGGCGCACTAAGATTTCTATAAAGCAATTTTCCCTCCCACACAATAGAAAAGACCGCGTGATCAGCCTGACCTAACCAAAATTGGGTGACTTTCACATGAATTTGAAAACTTTATTTAAATTTTTTCTTCAATGACATCTCAAGATCCCACATACACATGAATTTAGCAATCACAATGGGCACGTGGGGGCCGAAACCTTTACTCGAACACTTTTTACCTAGTTTATTTATGTGCTCATTGACTTAAAATGGAGACAAATTGCAATGGACTGACACCAATAACCAGATGCTTGTTACTCAACTATAGGGTGCAATGATAAAATTCTTTTTTTCAAAGAGATCATATAATTATATATATATTTTAGAGCCACGTGAATTTATTACACTAATTTTTGGATACCAACTGATGTGTCGGTGTTTTAATTATTTTCTTTTCAAGTCTATTATGAACTTTATTTATTTACGGTAAATAAAATATTATTATATTAACTGGTGTCCGAAAATGGGTTAGGGGGCATTTGATATCCTATTTAAATAGAGAACTCAAAAACTTTGATTTTTCTTAAAACTAAGGAGTTCTTAAATCTATTTTTAAGATTCAAAAACTTGTTTGGTATTCAACTTGAAAACTGTTTTCAAATCTTAAAAATTTGAGAACTTGTGGGTTGTTAGAAAAAAACTGAAAAAACAGATTTTTTATTTTTTTTGTTTTTAATAATCGGGGTGTTTTTTAGTTGTTCTTGAGTTTGAGTTTTTAAAAATAGGGCTACCAAACATGGTTTCTTTGTTTTGGACACAAATTCTGTTTTTGAGTTTAAAATGTTGAATTCAAGTTGAATACCAAACATGCCCTTAGTGTCTCTAGCATTTTACCATGTATTAAAAAATAGGTGGCAATAGAGGCAAAAGATGAAAAGGAAATGAGAAGGAAAAGGACTGAAAGTGATGATAGCATCTGAGTTGGTCGCCGCATATGCTTTGGAAGATCCTCAAGGAACCCACGTTGCTGAACAATCAACAGTTCTCAATCCCTTTTTGCATTCCCATCTCTGCATATAAAATGAGACCCTCTTCTCTCATGCTCTTTCACAACCACAGCAACAATATTTGATAGTCCCTAAGATGAAATATATAGTTGAGTTTTTGGTACACTCAAGTGCCCTAATACTACTAGTGGTGCCACCCCCACCATGTGGGTTGGTGGTGGGAGGTGGCTCTCCAGCAGAAGAGTAATGATTTTCTATAATGGGAGAAGTTGAGCTAGGTCTGCAGCAGCCTCTCTCAAAGGAGAAACACTTGTGTGGAATGGGGATAGCACTGTTTTGCTATCCGCAACCAATCACGGTATGTCACATGTGATAACTTTCACTTTGTATATCGTGATTAACCGGGGATAGCAAAATAATGTTATCCCTGTTTCACACAAGTTTTTCTGCTCTTAAAGGGCCTAGCTAGCTAGCTGTTAATTTCTCCTGCACAGGGCAATTTCAAACCTTTGGCATTTTACCCAACTGGGAATTTCTCTGCATCATTATGTGGGGTTTAGTTAATATATATAACCTTTTGGGTGAACGTATCTGTTAGCAAGTATCAAAGCTTTTGGTTTTTTCAGTATTTGCTTCTTTTCTTTCATATTTATATTAATGTAGCAGAAGTCAGCAGGCAGCTGGTGCAACTTTGATGTACATGAAGCTTTGCAGATGCTGTAATTTTATTTTTCAAAGCAATGTATTAATTATTTATGCTGGTTTTTATTAGTCGTTTAGACTTTTAATTAGCTCTCTTTAATTTTAATATGAACAGCTCTTCAGACGGAATACACCCCACATCTCTAAACTCTTGGTCTTGCATATATAAATTTCATTTAAAATACTTTCTTTCATTCTATTTCTTCTCACAACAATCTGTATCTTCCATCTTCTTCATACTGCTAAAGGTACAAAAACTATTTACTGCACATTATTCTATATTGGTCTATCTATCCCCTTAGATGTGATGTGTTCTTCTTCCTCAATAACTTTCCTCTCTGCAATTCATAGAAAAAACTCTCATCGGTTCTTACACAAAAGGAAAACTCTTCCCTCTCACCATTTTCTCTCCTACAAACTCTCCCTCTCTCTCAATGATTGGATTCTTTAAAAAGCAAACTTGAAACCAGAAGGTGGTCTGTATGTGCTGCCTCCTCCATTGGATCCTCATAACAGAAAATAATTGGTTGTATACTGTCAAAATTGATTGGACCATTTCAGTAAACACATGATACATACAACAATTTAACTAGACATTTAGAGCACGGAAAATTCTGACCCGACTAGTGAGATCCATAGCTTGCAGTATGATCCAGTACAGGCGGTTTCCTTTCTTTTCCTCTTAATGGCAAAAAGTCTAACCACCGAGTCAGCACCAGCAGAGAATAACCATGGCTGCCTTGGATGGAATTTACAGTCCATTACACCTGCATACAACCGCAGTCAATAAAAGATTTAGCTTTAATTTTCAAGTTTGAATTACACTCAGAAACTGAGTTCACTATAAATTTGGCCTGCAACTCTGCAAGTTCTATTCACTAACTCCTAGTCGCATCTTATCAAATCCCCATTGTAGAGAAGGGACCTTGAACATATCATACGTTCAAAAACATTCAAGCTGGTGAAAGTACGTTTAATATAATGCCCAGAGTTCAATAAACTTTTTACACATGCACTAGCAGCATTTTTTTGGCTGCCTCCTCTTCCTTGCCAGTTGAGCTACTTCCACTCCTCTTCCAATTTGAGTTTCCTCCACGATTAGGAGGAATAACCATCAGAAAAAGACCATGGTAACATGTCTCCCGTATTTGGCGAGGGAAAGGATGATGAGCGAACTTATTCATCTTGTTAAACCACCCAACAGAATACAAACTGAAGAAAGCTATAGGGCGCACCTCTCCCATTTGTGCTTGAATGACCTCGGAGTATTTCCAATGGAACAATAAGAGGGTTCTGGTTAAGATCTGAATAAACCATGCCATGAAAAACATATGCAGTGCAATCATCAGAGCAGGTTGCAAACAGGGGGTACGAGTGATGGAAACACACATTGTTTATGTCCTTCTGATGCAACCTGATAAATTTTCACAATGTCAGAAGAAAACAATTATATGTCCAAAAATCAAGCAAATAGAATTTGATGTGTTATATTTGGTTTGGTGTTTGTCTAATTGTTAATGATTGGTCATTTTAGCTGATTAAACCTATCTATTAGATAATATCTTCCAGAAATCTACGCATTATGCAGACCATTTCAGAGATTGCAAAATTTAAAGTGAACCAGTGTCTTGCAAGAAAGTATTAACCCCCTCTCCAAACAACCAAAAGAAAAGACCCTACAGAACATTTTTTTGTTTTGCATCATTATTTGTAAAATAAATGTGTGACATACTTGAGAGTTTTGTAAGGTTTAGATGAAAGTACAGCCCAGATAAATCAGAGTACAGTTCACGCACAACTGTTACGACGAAGAGAATAATGAATGGACTCAATCCATACAGTTGTATATAGTTAGCAAAATTTTAATGAATGAAAAATAAATAAAAAGAACTACCAGAAGGATGAACTGCAATAGAGGAGACTTCACGTAGTCCAATCTCAAGTTTTCTGACGAGCTTTCCCTCTTTCACCAGATCATAAACACGAATTATCTTCTTTGTTGAAATGAAGAAGAAGGAACGTGTAAGATGGAAAACTGAAGTAACTGCAATCCCTTGCAACTTGAATGAAAGTGTCTGGGTAAACTTCTTAGAGAGCTTATGTATAAAAATAGCTCTTGATTCATGTAAAGCCAAGTCAAGAAAATCCAGGGAGATGACTTATTTGATATAACTTGGTTTTGTTATCAGAAATTTAATAATAACTCATTTGCAAACAACAAATATACGCATTAACCATACATGTCTAAGAAATAAAAACCCATACCCAAACCCATCTGTGTCATGCTTAATGTAGCATATAATATAAAAATATGTGTATATATATGCAAAAAGGATATCCGCTGGCACCACTGTCGAAAGATACCTTACGATGCCATTCTACTGAAGCCACAGTCTGCAGCAGGAGCCCAACAAAGAAAGCAGTTAAGATTCTTCATAGAAAGACCAACCTTCTAATCTTGACTTCAGCTTAAGAAACTCATAAACTTACACAACCACAAATAAATTGGTGAAGGAAAAGGCTAATGTACCTTAGACTTAGAGTGCCTTAACCTGATTCCCTCAAGTTTATCATCTTGAAGCCAGCTTACACTGGATGCTGTTTTGCCTATGTAAGAAAAACATGTTTCACAAAGGTTAGAAACCATTCATTTGATATATGCTATTGAAAGCTATGACGATCTCACACTGACCAGAGTCATCACAGGCATCTCAACAGAGAGAAGTTCTTTAGTCCTTTTCTGTACTTCTTCATTTCCACAACCAGTGTTCAAAAGAAGTATGTCTTGGCCCCTACAATTTACCAGTGATTAATTTGCATTTAGGTATCAGGATCCCCAGTGAAAAATTTGAAGGCTTCACCAATCTTGTAGTGTTTTAGACATCTACCAGTTTCAACCTCCCAAATACGCACAGTTCCATCCAATGAACGTATAAGAAGAACAGATTATGAGACCTACCGACTTCAATTACGTTACTGAATGTAACAAAGAATTAAGAATGTCATCCACACCTGATGCAATCCACTGCCCTGAAGCTTCTACAGAAACTGATGTAACTGCATCTTCGTGACCTCTATACTCAAGATAACATGATACAGGGTAAGGCTTAAGATCACTTCAGTTTGGTAGCTTGGGCTTCAGAGACTCAGGATCGCTATTAAGCTGGAACATAAAAGGATATACTTTGAATAATTTGATCCTTGTCCTCATATGACTATAAGTAGATTGTACAAATTGAAATATCTTGCAAAACCATCAAAATCTGAACAAATAATCACTACGGAATCTTTTCCTCAATCAGAATTTTTCACTATGATAATAATGTGCCTGTTAGATGCTGTAATATCAGAAAGAGTAGCAAATTACGATTAGTCCAAATTTCAAGTCATACTGAATATTACCTTTTAGGTATAAATTTAGGATGGTCTTCCTCATACATTAACTGATAAGAATTGATCTCTTCTTGTGTTGGGATGTATTCTAAAGAAGGATTGAAGGACTCCCCATGGCCTAAAAGCAAACAGCAATTTTAAGCTTTCCATCAAGTCTCACGATACTTCATGCCAAAAAAAGGAATTGCACTACATCTGACTTTTCACAATCCTCAGAATATGGGTGAAAATTATTACCAGGAAATTTTGGCTTTGGTGCAGGAATGTAAGATAGAAGGTCATTCTTTTCTGTTGGATTAGAGTCATCTCCCCACAAGGGATAAACACTTTCTTCTTCTTCCTCCACCTCTTTGGACTATTTAGGCTTAATCAAACCCTTGCGAATGGCCAGCTTGATCTTATTAAGCTGTAGATTCATCAAAAGAACTGCAGATGATGGAACAGGAAACCATGTTAAATTAATAATAATAAGTTTTCCAATCCAAACAAACTCTAGTACACTTGTTTAACTCTGAAGCTGCGTTGAAAAGAAAATAAAACTACAGAAGAAAGGAAAAAGAAAGAAAACACCCAACAGGAGTAATACATTAAGCATGCCTTACCAGTTTACTTTCAGATTTTGAAGGAATAAATCATCTCTTGGGACAGTGGATGCTTTGAGCCATCCCATTTAAACCAATCAACATATGGCTGCACTTGAAACATGGGGAATTTCACTTCAACTTAAAATGAGGAATTCATTTGTAAGAAAGTTCTTATAAATAGCCATGTACTACAGTCATATGATCAATAAGAATATCATAAATATTACAACTGGATGAGTTTGATCTACAGACCGCATAAGGATCAAAGTCACCATGGGGAGCCTTTCCTTCGAGCAATCTACTTATAGATTTGATATCTTCTTTTGTCAGTTCTACATCCTCATCATTTTAATCATCATAAATTTTGCACCTGAAAAGTAACAAAACCAGAGTAAAAAATATACACTTATTTATACCTTCAAAACAAAATGAAAAGAAGAAAAGGTTGACAATAAAATTATTGCAAAAATATACAAGATAGCTGATTGATAATTCCACTCTTTCTTGTTTTGATTCCTCCCACAATGATTTGGAAGGCTGAAGCACCTCCCAAGGTACAAGTTGTAGTCTAGATAATTGCCCATGGGAGGTCAATACTTGTGATTTGGTTCAGAGGAGAAGGAAGACCGGATTGCTTATCTATGCGCCAGTGTATGAACATCCTATAATTGATGGCTATCAACATATTAGAAATAAAAGCGTACCAGTTCTCTGAATGGTCAGCACTAGCAAGAAAGGATTGCAATTTATCTTCTTTTTCCTGCTTCTTTATCTTCTTCCCTGTAATGTCATACCAATATGTTTCTCATCCTGATACCACTCCAGGGGGACATCACCAATTGTATTCTGAGGAACCACCTATTAAAAACAGAAAAAAGTAGAGAAAAGGCACTTAAGTGCATTCAGGTAACTATACTATATAAAATCGCATTTAATTTGCTTAAGACAAAAAGAAAAGAGACCTCATCTTCAGATGAATCACTCTCCTCAACTCCTTCATGAAGTTCAGAACTATCACTTTCCTCATCATTACCATGATCATTGGCCAAGTGAGCCTTGTTGCTTGAGTTAAGAACGCCCTGCCATGGTTATAGCTAACAATATTAACACACTGACAAAACAGAAAACTTGTAGAACCAAACCGGCTTCATTGTTCTACCAAATCATGAAAATTATTTAGTGTCTGACCTATAGGCTAGGTGTAGCTGTATAATAGTTGAAATAAAAATAAGAGATCACATGGCATGGAAAAGTAAGTCACATCTTTACATCTTTAAACATTTTTTTTCATATTTCCACAACTCTAACCTCTTTTCCAGAGAAACCACTCTCTTCATCTTCTGAGTCTGGGTCTCTGATTGCTAGATAATGTCATATCCTTCACTATCTGACATATCCTATAATCACAAAGGCTAGCTCCTTTATTTCAGTGCGAGGCAAAAAATGCAAAGGAGCATCCACAGCAGGTGCAATGCAATAAAGGAAACAAAACAGAACCGGCTTCATTGTTCTACCAAAACTATCCGTTGGTTCAGTTTTGCCTAAAACTATAAGGGAAACCAAACCAATCCAGACCATTGGTAATCGGTGTGGTTCGGTTTAGTTAGGCCAGTTTGTGCCTAACTCAAAACCATGTATTTTTCAACATGCTCTTACATAATCATTTGCTAACATTCTATCATTATATCATTCCATCAAAGGCTGCGTAATTTGCAGCATAATGAACATTCAAAAGCATACATTTTTTTCCACCTGCTGTAACAGAAATCATGTTAACATATTAACATTCTATTATTCCATTCCATCAAAGGCTGCCAGCATACTAAACATTCAAAAGCATGCATCTGAGTTCATATTGGTGGCTCATTAGAAGCAAGATCTTCTTCCACCTCCTGGTGCACCTCCATCAATATAAAATTCCCAACAGATTTAGCACAACGATTGAAACAGCAAGCATGAATCAAGACTATCAAGCAATCACAACAAAATCCAACATGAACATCAAGCCTAAACCAATATCTCATAAACTGCAGAACCTATCTATAAACAACAGCAAGTCTATCTATAATCACAAAAAATTTCAGAACCAATATCTCATTAACATCAAACATATTTCAGAACCAATATCTCATGAACATCAAGCAAGCAAATTTTCAGAACTCACCGCCGTTGGCACTGACTACTGAGTCAGCTTCATCCATAATCACCACCACATTGTAGTCACAACAGACTTTTATCCAAGTCCTGTACCACAAAGACGCACATATAAAGTTAAAAACAACATACCATTGATTTGGATTGAAGAAAAATTAGAAATAGCATAGGGTTTATACAGTGTTTTAAAAGGAGCACACGTTTGTGAAACGCAGCGAAGCGTCTCTGACCGCTCGGTTTGCCATTGAGGTGCGCAAAAGGGGTCGACAAGCAGTTGAGGCGCTGGGCGGTGCGTGTGAAGAGGGAGAGAGATCGAGACAGAGAGAGAGGAAGAAGGAGAAGAGAGATCGGCGCTGTGCAAGCGCGGGAAAAAGGAGATGAGCTGACCTAACTTTTAATATAACTAACGACGTCGTTGGCCTATAACATGTTTTGTAAATTTTAAAAAATGGACAAACTACAAAACACCCTCAAACAAAAGGTTATGAACTTGCAAATGAACTCATAATTTGGGGGTGTCTTTTGGAATTTGCAATTTGCAATTTAAAACAAAACATAGAACTGTTAATGGGTTTTTGTTCATATATAATTCAAACTTCTAAAGACTTTTATAGAGTTTAAGTATGGAGGTGTACAAAAAGTTAATGACTTTTAAAAATCTTATTAAATGAATGAATTTTTAGGTCTAATGGTCCTTGAATTTTGACTTGATTTGTATTTTGGTCCCTCAATTTTCAAAATCGTTTCCGTGGTCCTTCAACTTCAATTTCATTAAGACAAATGGTCATGCCGTCAATTTTGGTAACTTTTTTTGTTAAATGCAAGGGCAAAATGATATTTTTGTATTTTAAAAAACCAATAAATAAAAATAAAAATAAATATCTCTATCTTTCTTTCCTCTCCCTCTATCTCAATTCTTTCCCTAAAGCCACTTTCTCTCCAACCAAAAAAATGGTATTTTTTGTATATCACACACTCTGATGTTAGAGAAAGGCTCTCTTAACAACAAGGAAATCGAGGAGGGGGGAGAGGAGGGGGTTTTGGGTTCGTTGGGGTTGGAGGCCAGTGGTCATGGGGGAAAAGAAAATCGAAAGGGAATGGGCGTTGAGTAAAGGGTGGCTGTGGATTGCGCTCTTTGCTCTCTCTTCGTCTCATCTAAATCTTGAGTATGCAGGGTAAGTTTCCTTGTTCCTGATAGAGGGAGAGGAGAAATCTAGGTTTGAGGGAGAAGAAATCGGGATAGAGGGAGAGGAGAGAGAGAGAGATTTATTTTTAATACAAAAATATCATTTTGCCCCTACATTTAATAGAAAAGATAACAAAATTGGTGACGACCATTTGTCCTAATGAAACTGAAGTTGAAGGACCATGGGAACGATTTTGGAAATTGATTGACCAAAATGCGAATGGGGTCAAAGTTCATGGACCATTAGACCTAAAAATCCTAAATGAATTGTTTTCGTATATTTTTAAGGTTAATTCTTAATAACAAATGTCTTGCTAATTTACTAGTGACTTTTATCAACTCTATGAAAGTGTTTAAAAATATGTCAACAGTATGAAAGTTACTCATTTAAAAAGAGTCTTTATAAGTATGGATTGGATACACCTCTCCTAAATTGGATACTTCCAAACTTTTAAACTCTATAAAAGTCTTTGAAAGTTTAAAATGATGTATTTTAGGCAAAATATAGCTTTTCCATGTGAGAGGCCTAAGCCCAAGAGCTGAAACAAACTATATAGGGCCTAAGAAAATATAAAGAACTAGGAAAGAAAGCCCAAGTTTCAAGCGCCATTTCACTTTGCCCCATGCCGTCACCTCCGTTCCAAACTTCGTCAAAATTGTTGACGTGGCAAGGGTCATTTCATCATTTCATCCTAGCAGGCTATTTTCCCACAAATATGATAGGGTGGCGTGGCAAATTGTGAAGCCCACCTCAACCTCTACCTCCTTTAGGCTTATGTGGATTCTGTCGGAGCAAATATTTTCGTCTCCAATTATAGCACGTCAGGTGGAAAATAATAATATCCCTTAAATTAATTAATTGAACCAATTTAGTTGGCCAATTAATTAATATGGATAATATATTAATTATAGGATATTATCTTTATTTAATAAGATAATATCATTAATTTAGATATTATCCTAATAAGGAGATATAATCATTATCAAATTAGGAGATTTGGATCCCAATCAAATCCCTAATGGACTCAATCTCTACAATTTGGGAAAGATAAACTCTTTTCCAATAAGTGTTTATTCTCTACGAAACCCTAGCCTCTGAGGCTCCTATAAATATGGCTTCATTCATCATTCAAGGTACATCTAAACCTACTTGGAAACCCTAGAAAAATATATGAAGCTCTCTCTCCCTCTCTCCTCTCTCTCTCTCTCTCTCTCTCCTCTCTCCTCTCTCTCTCTCTCTCTATTTGATGGTAACACCCCTGCCGCCAACCTCTCCACTCTCCATATTTTCTCCACACAGCTCCGACCGCGCCCCATTTCACACCATACCATACATCTATGTACCATTTTTTTAGCTATTGTTTTCCTATAGATACTCAAACTAACTTAGGCTAGGGGTCTTTGGCCAACCCCCCCCCGGGTGTGGTCTATTTACTCCGGTCTTTTTTACATGAATCGAGAAGGAGAGAGAAGGAAGATCAAAGGGCGAAGGATCTAGAAGCGGACATTCTCTTGCAAGATTATTTGCACAAACACATTCCATGTAAGCTAAGAAACATTTATAATAAATTTTTTTTTAAAGGAAAAATCCTTTTAAACAATTCAAATTAATTTAATTTAAACATTAAAAATATAAAAAAAACCAGGAGGCTCATCCTCTGCCCAGCAACCCTATGCCCTACCTTCAACAGCCATCTCCACCCAACCCCACTTCGATGTCATGACCACCTCTCTACCTTCCTACACTCTACCACGACTCGCCCACCTCCACATCAAAGCACTTAAACAATCCCCATCTCCCATCTTTCTCAGCCCACAAAAATCAACCCACCCTTACAGCTGCTCCCTTTAGACAAACCTACCACCACACAACCCCAGCCCTCCTCACCCAACCACCTTCACCCAATCACCTCTAGCACATTCATCCCCAACCCCAACTTATTCCTACCCAAAATACATAACCCCAAGAAATCCCACAATAATTGCACCTAATAGAACCAGAGGTGGATGGGAAACCCACCTTTTGCCCGACCTGAGAGAGTGAAAGAAAATTGGAAAAGAAAGCGTTAACCGAGAGTGAAAAAGACAAAGAGCTTGAGGAGAAAGACTAGGACTGAGATTTCCCTTTTGAGAGTTCACCTAAGATGATTTAGGTTTGTGGGGTTTGGGTGGGAATAGGGGTAGGTTTGATTTGGGAAAGTTTAGCGAATTAGATAGATGGGTTTGAAGAAGAAGTTTTCTTGTTTTTCTAGTTTTTGATTTTTTTTTTTCATTTTTATTAATAAGGTGGGCTGCAAATTTGCCATTCACCCTCTCATATAGTGGGAAACAGACGAAACTATGAATTACCCCGCCACATCAGCAATTTTGATGAAGTTTGGAAATGCTTTGATGTCAGGGTAAATGACATGTGAACTACGGTCAAAGCAGGTAATGGGTCAGTTTCAATTTTCAAGGTGCAAAGTGATTTGACCCAAGTTTCAGGGAAATTTTCTAATAACCTTTTATAATTTTACATAGATATTAGTTCTTCTCTTCTGCGGACCGTCCGAATGCTATTACCTTGCGGACACCATTGTAACATGGAAGAAAGTAAGGAGAGGTACCAGGAAACTGGAACGTCCACAGTAATACCTCCCGGACATCTGCATAAAAGAAAATATTATACTCATGTTATGGATATATGTTTAGATATTTCTAAATTTAATACTTTAAAAAAAAAATTCAAAACCCTTACGCCGTAACGTTTAAACATTGTTGTTTATCTAGTATTGGTCTACTGTACTAATTAATTTTCAGAGATTAAAGCAGAGACCAGAAGGACTAAGAATGTGTCTTAGAGAGCGATGGTGGGTTGAGGAGGTTTTCTGCGATGATTGATGGTGAAAAGGCCTAATGTAGTTGGCTATGCCTTCAACAGTTTCGAATAAGTGAGAAGATGAGATGAAAATGGAGCACAAGTGAATGATCGCTTAGAGGAGGATAATACGAGTGTAGGATATGAGAAATGTTGAATGTGAAACGTACAAATAAAGCTCGAATTTTGCATTTGGACACCGCATGACATTATTCAAAGAAATCTAAGAATAATGGAGTTGAAATTTAGCAAACCCATACGAGTGAATGTTATTCATAATTTGTATCTATACTTCTCACCTTATTATTATAGTTATAACTCAGAGGAGTTTTCAAATTGAAAGTTTCTTGAGTCACATGAGTATGGCTTCTATTATAATAAGCTTTGTTGGTTTTGGATATTGTCATATGTCGAGTTGAATGCCATGAAAGAAAGATGACGAGTTGAAAATCCTACATTCATACTAAGTATTCATTTGATTAACAATTGAGACTTGATCCCTTGAAATCCCACAATTTGACATTTTGGGAGAGAGCCATTCGATGAGAAATATGTCTCCCCTAAAAATTGTCATTGCGTGGAAAATTAGAACCCTGTCTCAACTGTGGTTGAATTCACTCTTCTTGTTGGTGTTCAAGTAGTGAGAATAAAGCTTCTAGATTTAAAAATTCTCCATTCCATTGTTAAACAGTTATTATACATGCATATCAATTAACTCAAATCACAAAACAACCAACCAAAATTAAATGATTTGAGAGCCATAATGCATTTCGTAGTATTCCAATGTTTTAAAACTAATAATTTTCAGTGTTTATGTTGGAGATAATCGAGCGTCATTAGAAATTGTGTTTTGCTTTTTAGGACAAATTCTATTTGAGAACACTTTTTCATCATTTCCCATGAATCAATTAGATGAAGGTTTTAACAAATTTTCTGATAAATACAATACATAGCATGATATCTCGAGTAACAATCAAATAGTTGAGAAGAAATAATATATAGTGTTGTGCAATATTTCATATTAGCATTTCCTTCAATTTCTTTAAAAGTCATATTGGGCTTTTAAGCAAGTTGTGCACGACAACTTGAATTAAAAGCCAATTGGCCCCAACTTTTTTTTTTTTTTTTTTTTTTTTTTTTTTTTTTTTTTTTTTTTTTTTTTTTTTTTTTTTTTTTTTTTTTTTTTTTTTTTTTTTTTTTTTTTTTTTTTTTTTTTTTTTTTTTTTTTTTTTTTTTTTTTTTTTTTTTTTTTTTTTTTTTTTTTTTTTTTTTTTTTTTTTTTTTTTTTTTTTTTTTTTTTTTTTTTTTTTTTTTTTTTTTTTTTTTTTTTTTTTTTTTTTTTTTTTTTTTTTTTTTTTTTTTTTTTTTTTTTTTTTTTTTTTTTTTTTTTTTTTTTTTTTTTTTTTTTTTTTTTTTTTTTTTTTTTTTTTTTTTTTTTTTTTTTTTTTTTTTTTTTTTTTTTTTTTTTTTTTTTTTTTTTTTTTTTTTTTTTTTTTTTTTTAAAATGTGTTGCGTTATCAGATATATAGGGTCTCCTCCCTCCCAGCAGGCCTGGCTTTCCTTGGTATTGGAGTGAATTAATTAGGTACGTATGAGTTGAGTTTTCAATCCTGCATATATTTTATATATGTTCAAGCCAAGACATAGGCCGACGACGAAAAACACTTCAATTTTTATCATGTTTTAAAAGCATGATACTGTTTAGCACCAACCCAATTGATCGTAAACTCTCAAGTTTTTCAATCCTTCACACTAATTCACTCCAACCCTTCTGTCTCTGTTTCTCGCTCTCTGTCCCCAACTATTCTGTGAGATCATTGCAGTTTCATGAAGTAAGCTGAGACTTGAGAGGTATTTTTCTCAGCCAACTTTCAAGAAATTTCGTATTGCCTCGTTCTTTTTGTTTTTGTTTTTGTTTTTTGTGGTTTTAAAACATATCACTGATGGGTAATTTTTTGAGTACTTAATGAACTAGTGAAAGAAATTTTCTTGGTGTTTTGCATTTTGGGTCAAGAGAAGACTTTTTTAGCCGTAAACATAATTAAAGAGGCAAAATACAGAGGAAGAAAGACAGGTTGTCATGATCATCTAGGAGAAGGTAAAGTACTGTTGGCCTTGTGATCATTCAAGACTGCAGGCTTGATGATGAAGCACACAATTATCTTGATCATTCTTGCATCTTTGTGGACTTGTTATGATGCAATAGACACACTGAAACCAGGGGACACTCTCAATTCCACAAGTTCCTTGGTATCAGCATTAGGCAAGTTCACTTTGAATTTCATTACAAAACCTGTCGGCAATTCGGAAATGAGCTTTCTTGCTATCCTGCGCATCAAAACTGAAGCAAACAAAGCATGGATTGCGAACCCACACTCACCTGTTTTATCCTCTTCATCCCCACTTCTTACCTTGGACTTCAATAACACATTGAAAATTACTCACCGAAATGGACACCCTTTTATCCTTTCTGCTCCAAACACTACTAGTATTACTAGTGTTGTGGCTACCCTTTTGGATTCCGGCAATTTTGTCCTTCAAGAAGTGAGCCCTGTCAATGGATCCACGATCCAAATCTTGTGGCAAATTTTTGATTATCCAATGGACACATTTTTACCAGGCATGAAATTGGGTGTTGACCATATAAATGAGCACGTTTGGTCTCTTTTATCATGGGGGTCTAGCGACAACCCTGTGTTGTCGGGGCCTTTCAGCCTTGATTGGGATACCAATGCACACCAATTGAAAATTAAGAAAAGTGGGGTTATTTTTTGGACTTGCGGGGTCTTTGCAGAGGGGAGATTCGAATATATTAAGCAGAGGTACAATTTTAGCATCGTTTCAAATCAAAACGAAGACTACCTCACTTATACTAGTCTAGATGATCCAAATGATCCTGAGCCAGAATGGGTGCTATACACCAGAGGTGCACTTTATGAGTATGGTGCCCAAGTTGATATTATACGAGCACAAAACTGTGATGGCTATAACACTGTCGGAGGGTGTGTGAGAAGGGACCGCCCAAGCGATTGTGTTGGGAAATTAGGTGATGATTTTGAGATTAAAAAAGGTAACTTCACGATCATCAATTCTGCTAATGCTTCGAGACCTGCGAACTGGATTGGTACTGGTAGCGAAGATTGTAAAGTTACTTGTTGGCAAAACTGTGACTGCCTTGGATTCGACTTTCCATTTGGAAATCAGACTACTGGTGCAGGATGCCGATTTTGGAGTGTGGACTGTGCATTCATTGAAGACCTCAGTACTGCAACTCATAGTTTTGTTGTGCCAAACTCAGTAACGCTGCCACCAAAATCACCAGATTCACCACCTCGCGGAAAGATTAGTGAGTCAAGCTATTTACTAATCTTATTAATCTTATTAATTAATCAGCTAGACTTGTTTAACTATCACATCAATAGGCTAATACAAGCTTAACTTACTATATAGAAAATTAATTAAATGTTTTCCTAGATGCAACGCATAAGGGGTTATGGATTGGCACTTCTATTGCCGCTCTACTGGTAATTGGGTTTTGCATATTGTGCTATCGACCAAGAGGAACAAAATTTATGCTTTCAGCAGGTAAATTCCTTAAGCATAATGAGAGCAGTTGTTAGCCAAAATTTCACTTCTTCGATTATTATTGTGCCATAATGAGAGCAGTTCTAACCTTTCAATACCAATTTAAATAGGCAAGAACGGGACAAAGATTCAGAAAATATTGCTTAAGTTCATGAAATCTGAAAGACCTACTGATCATGTTATTGCGATTGAAAATGATCATGGAAATATTAGACACCCTGATTTAAGCGTATTTACCTATGAATCTGTCTTGGCTGCCACAAGCAACTTCTCTGAAGCAAACAAGCTCGGCCAAGGGGGCTTTGGTCCTGTTTATAAGGTAAGTCTCTAAATAATAGAAAGTGTACATGTTTTCTGCTTACATCAATAGCCAAAAGGGATATATAAAATAGTTTTTTTCTTTTTTGGAATAACTGAGAAATATTTTATGGGTTATAAATTCAGGGGAAATTGGCAACAGGACGAGAAGTAGCTGTGAAGAGGCTTTCAAAATGTTCAGGACAAGGCACGGTGGAGTTTAAGAATGAATTGATACTCATATATGAACTCCAACATACGAACCTTGTTCAGCTATTTGGATTTTGCATTCATGAAGAAGAGAAGATGTTGATATATGAGTACATGCAGAACAAAAGCTTGGACTACTTTTTGTTTGGTTGGGAACTCAAGCTACTTTAATCTTAGCACATTTCATTTTCTCAATTAATTGTGTTTACATTATTCTCTAACCTTTGAAAATACAAAAATTACGAATAAGACTCTCACTTGAATCTCTATGTTGGACAGATTCCATTAGATGTCTGCAACTAGATTGGAAGAAGCGTTTCGGTATGATTGAAGGAATCACTCAAGGAATGCTTTACTTGCACAAATACTCGCGAACGAAAGTAATTCATAGAGATCTAAAAGCTAGTAACATATTACTTGACGAAAATATGAACCCCAAAATTGCAGATTTTGGAATGGCAAGGATTTTCACCCAGGAACTAGAAGCAAATACTGTGAGGGTTGTTGGGACTCGGTAAGTAAACACTACAATACATACAAGCATTTTTATCACGTGTACTTTTTCCTTTGGGTGCAAACATGCATTTATGTATATAGATGTACTAAAGAAAGTTTTTTTTCTTTCTCATTTTGTAAAGTGGTTATATGCCCCCCGAGTACATCATGGGAGGAAATTTTTCCACAAAATCTGATGTCTACAGTTATGGAGTGTTAATGCTTGAAATTATAAGTGGGAGGAAAAACAACAGCTTCTACAATGAAGATCGTGTGCTCAACTTAGTAGGACATGTATGTCAAAGAAATCGCTGCAGACTGCAGTAACCATTATGTTTTTCTCTTTTCATGTTTTTTAGGTGCGTGATTCAATAATTTTAATGCTTTCTGCAGGCATGGGAGTTATGGAAAGAAGATAGAGGGGTAGAAATAATGGATCCAACACTAGTTGAAACATGTATTAGTCATCAATTGTTAAGATGCCTCCAAGTCGGTCCTACTATGCGTGGAGGAAAATGCAGCCGTTCGCCCTGCCATGTCAGATGTTATATCTATGTTGACAAATGAAAGCATGCAGTTACCTCTACCAACAAAGCCAGCATTTTACACAGAAAGAAATCCAGCCACTACGGGTATAGATAGAAGGGGACCGCCAATTATATCAATAAATGATTTGTCCAATACAGATTTGGAAGGACGTTGAAGGTATAGATGACGTTGGCTGTGCAAAACATTATACTGCAAATAAGCTTATTATGGCAAGCAAAAAAATGTAGTGTTATATGAAATACTTCACTAATACTTGGGAGTAGCTTCTAACTTAATAATGACCAATTTAGTCATATTTTTTCTTTAAATTAAACGTCTTGTGTCAAATATATATATAGCTAGGAGGTCGGATCCACGTCAAATCTATATTTCCATTGCAAGAACGAGATCATCCTCATCATGTTTCCATTTCGCAACGGGATCCTCTTTAGTGGCATGTCTATAAGAGCACCAAAGCTCTGTGACTGGAACTGGTATACGTCCTCAAAGCCCTAAGACGGGTTTAGAGAGTGAATCTTATATAAGGTAGTTGATTTCTGCTGGTAAATAGTGCAAGATACAATTAGAAGACAAATATGAGGCCTTGCACTTGCATTTAGAGGAAAACAAAATTTTGAACCTTGGAGTTATGTACCATTGGGCGGGCCTTGCATCTTTATTACAATTGAGGAGGTCTTGACAAATGCAAATAATCATGTACAATATAGTACAATTGAGGAAACTACTTGATTTCTTCTAGTAATGAGTACAAGACATATAATTCAAAAACAAGTGAGAACTAGCCCTTGCATGCTGCAATTCTGCAATTAGTCTAAGGAAAACAAATTTTGAATTCTTTGAATATTAATAATATTGCTATCATTCCTCCGGCCTTGTGCATCAAGTGGTTGACTATTGGTGTGTGCCTCTTAGCCAGTAAAGAGGAAAAATTAAGGAGAGAGATTATGACTCAAAACGCCTCTTCCATTCCACAGATGGTTAGTGCATATGCAGTATGAGTGAGTCGAAGTCCGCTTCTTGTATACATTGACCTTAAAGAGATTGTGGTTTAATTCTCACGTCTTTTAATACTTTTGCTTCTCTGCTAAGTTTTCCATTCATGGCTATCATAAGAAACTTAACTTTCTTGATCACTTTCGGATGCTTGTGGACTTGTCACTACGCTGCAAGCTTAACTCAGGACACGCTCAAACCAGGGGAGACACTCAACTCCTCAAGGTCCTTGGTTTCAGCCTCGGGGAATTTCACCTTGGCTTTCTTTGTACCTAATGATGGTTCCAAAAACAGTCAACTCGCAATCCTTCGCAGTAAAAAAGGTGTGAATCATGCATGGATTGCAAACCGAAACACACCTATTTTATATCCTTCATCCCCATTTCTTACCTTGGACTCAAACAACACATTGAAAATTACACACCAAAGTGGAGATCCTATTGTCATTTACTCCCCTCCACAAAATAGTACTAGTACTAGTAGTGTTGTTTTGGCTACCCTTTTGGATAACGGAAATTTTGTACTACAAGAAGTGAAATCTGTGGATGGCTGAACGAGAAGGTTTTGTGGCAAAGTTTTGATTATCCAGTGGACACATTTTTACCAGGCATGAAATTAGGTGTGAACCATAGAAAGGCCACATTTGGTCTATTTCATCATGGTCAACTCACTCCAACCCAGCGCCAGGGCTTTTCACCCTTGATTGGGACCCCAATGGACAACAATTGAATATCAAGAAAAGTGGGGTGGTCTATTGGACAAGCGGAATTTTTACAACAATTAAGGGAAGATTTGATTTGATTTTGCCTGACGAACCCAAGGTGAGGTATAATTTCAGCATTGTCTCGAATGAGAATGAAGACTACCTCATTTACACCGCTGCAGATGATCAAATTAAGGACAAAACAGATGCTGATACAAGAACAAATATAAAAGCTTAAATGAATTAGATTTTTCACTTGAGGTGGTGTAATATTTCAATTTATTTTTTTTCTGTTCTTTGATGGGTTGGTTTTGGGTTCCTATGCAACAGGAGGAGGAGGCAAGAGGGCATGATCAAATGTCAAAATCTATAACAGAAATGCAATATCCAAAGAATGAAAGGCAGTCCAACCAAGAAGGAACTAGCAAATATTAGTGAATCAGCAAAACTTATGAATTTAGCAAATAAAGAACCTGAAGCCAGTTTCGAGCGGAAAAAACTTACTTGTGTAATGTGAAGAGCCTGCCCAAGCCGCTGAATTTGAATCCATTGTTCTGTAACAATGTCAGCCATCTGAAAGCAATGAGAAAGAAGCCAATGGCAAAATGAACACCACACTAACAACATCACACACTCATAGCCATAGACCAAAGATGGATTGAGTACATCAGTGCATAACCTTTTGAGACTGAGAGGCAGCCGTTTCGAGTCTATCCCCGGCATCTTGTGCTTTAGACTCTAAAAAATGGGCATAGGCGGGAGGCTAGGCGGCTAGGCGGGAGGCTAGGCGGCTAGGCGGGCGGCGAGACGGCTGGGCGGGCCTCCTAGGCGGGTTGGGTCTTTTGTCGTTGCCAAACCCAGAGGACGAAGCAGCCGAAACCGAAGAAAACAAATCGAAGCTTGAGTTGATAGAGAAGCGAAACTTCGACTGCAACCTCCGTCTAGGCGGGCGCTAAGCGGCTAGGCGGGCGCTAGGCGGCTGGGCTGGCCTCCTAAGTGGGTTGGGTCTTTTTTCGTTGCCTAACCCGGAGGACAAAGCAGCCGAAACCGAAGAAAACAAATCGAAGCTTGAGTTGATAGAGAAGCGAAACTTCGACTGCAACCTCCGTCCTCTGCGAGTGCAAGCTTCGTTTTGAATATATGACAACCGTATAGCCGCGCGGCTATACTTTTAAAATATTCGAATATATTAACATTTATACTTTTAATATATTCGGAAGTATTTAGAAAGTATAGCCGTCCGGCTATACGTTTAAAATTTTCTAATATATTTGGCGACTATACTCTTGAGATATCAAATTTTGTAAATACATTGCTGCGAGATGATTTGAATTTTGAAATGAAATGCCATCAATAAGAAAAAAAAAAAAAAAAAAAAAAAAAAAAAAAAAAAGAATTTTATATTAAATTATTGATTGTCTTTTTTCTCTTGTTTGTTGAAAGTAAGATCAGTGTTCTTCCAACTGAAGGCATCCCCAAAGCACACGTTACATCCCATGGTCGTTTATGCGAAACTCAATAAATTGTAAACGTGAAATTTACAGCTTAAAGTCTTCACTTGAGGCGATAGGTATACAGCCTCTAGTTATTACACTTTGAATTGATATAGAACTATATATGTATAGGGGGTGGATCCATGACACTACATTTTGGACACGAGTCCTAACTCACGTGGATGGACGACCATGCCCTCTAAGAAACTGAAGACAGAACAAGGGCCATAAGTCAGCTGTATTTTTTTTCGCTGCTCTGTTTTGGTTTATGTCTCCTGCTGTTCTGGTTTTGTTTTTTAAAATGAAAGAGGTTTGTTAAAAAAATTGAGCTTTTAGACCACAAGTCCAACTTCATACCACCTCACATATATTAATTTTCCAAAAAGACAATTAATGTACAAACAAAAAACGAACATTAACAGCAAATTATATTACCCCTAATTAAAGCCTTTTCCTTTTCACTTGGTGCAGTGGTTACATGCCTCCTGAGTCTGTGGAGGGAATTGTTTCTGTAAAATCTGATGTCTACAGCTTTGGGGTGTTGATGCTTGAAATCATAAGCGGGAGGAAAAACAACAGCTTCTACAATGATGACCGCGCACTCAATTTAGTAGGATATGTATGTCAAACAAATCTTTGCATTTATAATTTCTTCTTCTCAAGGTGTGAATTCAACCATTCTGATATCCTAAATGCTTATATATTTCAGGCATGGGAGTTATGGAAACAAGGTTCAGGGGTAGAATTAATGGATCAAATGGTAGGTGATTCATCATGTATTGAAGATCAATTGTTAAGATGCATCCATATTGGTCTGTTATGTGTAGAGGAAGATGCAGCCGATCGGCCTACCATGTCAGATGTGATTTCTATGTTGACAAATGAAAACCCACCATTAGCCTTACCTACAAAGCCAGCATTTTTTGTTGGGAGGAAATTGGTGGAAGCTGGTATAGGTGAAAAGCAACATGAAATTACATCAGTGAATGACTTGTCCATTTCCAATTTTGATGCACGTTAAGTTTGATCTTCAGAGGGTGCTAGCTTGTGTGTTCCTGTATTAAAAAGATTATTATCCTCTTTACACATATTTCTTGCGTATTAAGTTTTTATAATTTATTAAATTGGCATTATGTATAACAACTTCACTAGTTATTCATGTGTGCATTACTATGTATAAATCTTTATATCGGTTGCCCATTGAGAATATATGTATCGATCATGATGTTGACAGATGAAGTGCTATAATAGAATTGGAGAGTGACTTTCTTTCAATTAAAATTTCCATTTTATGTTTTGTTAGATACAGAACGACTAAACGACACTAAGTTTATGGAAAGAAATTTGTCTCAAATGTTGAGGCCTCGTTTGGTGGCTCAGCTTGGACTGCCTTGCACTGGAATAATAATATTGCTAACATTGGGCAGGCCTTGCATCTAGAGGAAGGTTTTGACTAACAAGTGGATGTGTTCCTCCATAGCCAATTAAGTACAATCATTCATTAATTTATCACTCTTTATTTATTAGCATTGCAAATTATTGTTTTTTTTCCCACAAACACCTCCATCTCTTTCCAAGTCTTCCATCCGGATAATAGGATAATAACATATGAACGTCTCTTCCATGCCACGGATGGATGGTGTGCAGTAGACTAGTATGAGTATAAGGGAGTCAAAGTCAGCTTCCTATAAACATGTTAGAAACTTGAATTTAAAAATATGATCTAGTATTGTCAGCCACTTGACCTTAAAGAGATGGATTGTTGTGATTGCTTCCCATGTTTCTCAGCTAAGCTTTCATGATCAACTTAATTTTCTTGATCACTATTGAAGCTTGTGGACCTGTCATGATGCTGCAGCAAGCAAAATTAGGGACACACTCAAACCAGGAGAGACACCATTGAAACATACAATTTCGTAACATCATTTTAAGGTTTGGGGCTGAACTACCACTTTAGTCCATTGGACTAGAGCTATTTCTTCAATTATTTTATTGGTACAAGCGATATTGGGGAATGAGAATTTAAATTCTTTCCAATACCTCTCATTCTAATGATTTCCAGCTATTAGCCCATTTGGCAAGAATTAAAAAAATGAATTTTATTTATAACAAATAACACGGGTTTAACCCATAAATTTAACAACAAAAAATAGGATGTCAATGAACTCGAGGTCTATCCTTCTTCTAAAGCATTTTCAGCTAATGAAGTCACAGTCCTTTTACACTAATGGAGGCTCGATAAACGATATTTCATGTTGGTATGTTAATATGGTGCTTTTGAAATTAGTTTGAAAAGTTAAATATAGTTAAGAGATTCCCAACCCATGCGTTAGCAAATGCACCCTCTAATTTATTTATTTTTCTTTGGAGTTGAGGTGGAGTTCACACAACAGAAACACAGATATAAAAGCTTAAATGAATTAGATTTTTAACTTGAGGTGGTGTAATATTTCTTTTTTCTTTTTTTCTTTTTTCTGTTCTTTGGTGGGTTGGTTTTGGGTTCCTATGCAACAAGAGGAGGAGACAAATCTTTCTTTCTTTTTTCTCTCAGCAAACAAGAGGACATGATCAAATGTCAAAATGTATAACAGAAATGCAATATCCAAAGAATGAAAAGCAGTCCAACCAAGAAGAAACTAGCAAATATTAGTGAATCAGCAAAACTTATGAATTTAGCAAATAAAGAACCTGAAGCCAGTTTCAGCAGAAAAAACTTACTTGTGTAATATGAAGAGCCTGCCCGAGCCGCTGAATTTGAATCCATTGTTCTGTAACAATGTCAGCCATCTGAAAGCAAAGAGAAAGAAGCCAATGGCAAGATGAACACCACACTAACAACATCAAACACTCATAGCCATAGACCAAAGATGGATTGAGTACATCAGTGCATGACCTTTTGAGCCTGAGAGGCAACCATTTCGAGTCTGTCCTCGGCATCTTGTGCTTTAGACTCTAAAATGTGAAGGTCGAAGTTGTACTTTCTTGATGCAGCCCACAGAAGCCGTACCTAAAAAGCATTGCAAAGCCCATTTCTCAAATCCAACAAACCCTTTCTGTTACTTTTTCATTGAATTGAAAATTGCAAAAAATAAATTGAAAAATATGCGAACCTCTTCTTCTAGAGCATTAAGCCTCTCATAAGTAGCCAATGGGTCTCTCTGTGACATACAAATGCAACCAAATATTATATATTTGCTTTCAATTTAGCATATACTTGGAAGCTGAAGATTTTAAGCTGAAACGGGAAACAAACCTTAAGAGTGAACAAAACAGACTGCAAATGATGTATCTGGGTTTAACAGAAGTATGGAACTCAAGGAATGTGAGATGTTGTGCATGAAGAACTGCTCCTGCACAGCTTGTGCAAACTTGGATACCAGGGATGGAGGAAGTGGGTGCCTGCTGTGGTTTAGTGAGCTGATTGATGTAAGAAATTTTACTGAAAATGGGCAAGATATTTATTTTAGAATGGCAGCATCAGAACTAGGTATCGAGTCATTTTTAATCTCAAAAGTCAGTGTGTTAATGCAAATTTTAAAGAAAACAAGAGAAAAAAGAAACATCTTTGGATATGGAACAGTCAATTGGGAGTTATCCATCTCTTCATGATCATGTACAAAAAGTAAAGTCAAAACATATCAAACCCAAAGGTTGTTGCTCTATAATTTTGGATTTGGACACAATTATCAAACTCTACTTTCAAATTCGTCTGTTAAGATCAATGGATGATAGACATTACAGATTTTTTTTTTTTTTTTTTTCTATATCTAACTTCTCACTCTTTTTGCTTTCAAATATAGTTCCTGCCTAGATCATGAAGACTATACAACAATCAGTGCTAAACCTGCTAAACCCAATTTCCGCCCCGGGGGCTTAGACCACTTGGGTTATATTTTATAGTCTCATTGAATGTGGAGAAAGTAAGAATCATAGTAGGCAGTGTTGTGTCATCTCCTGGGCTCCTCCTGGGTGTAGCTCTGTTTTTTCTAATGAAATTAGGTGTGAACCATAGAAAGGCCACATTTGGTCTATTTCATCATGGTCAACTCACTCCAACCCAGCGCCAGGGCTTTTCACCCTTGATTGGGACCCCAATGGACAACAATTGAATATCAAGAAAAGTGGGGTGGTTTATTGGACAAGCGGAATCTTTACAACAATTAAGGGAAGATTTGATTTGATTTTGCCTGACGAACCCAAGGTGAGGTATAATTTCAGCATTGTCTCGAATGAGAATGAAGACTATCTCATTTACACCGCTGCAGATGATCAAATTAAGGACGAAACAGAGGCTGATACAAGAACAAATATAAAAGCTTAAATGAATTAGATTTTTCACTTGAGGTGGTGTAATTTCAATTTTTTTTTTTTTTTTTTTTTTTTTTTTTTTGTTTGTTGTTGGTTGGTGGTTTGGGTTCCTATGCAACAGGAGGAGGAGGACCAGAGGGCATGATCAAATGTCAAAATCTATAACAGAAATGCAATATCCAAAGAATGAAAGGCAGTCCAACCAAGAAGAAACTAGCAAATATTAGTGAATCAGCAAAACTTATGAATTTAGCAAATAAAGAACCTGAAGCCAATTTCAAGCAGAAAAAACTTACTTGAGTAATGTGAAGAGCCTGCCCAAGCCGCTGAATTTGAATCCATTGTTCTGTAACAATGTCAGCCATCTGAAAGCAATGAGAAAGAAACCAATGGAAAAATGAACACCACACTAACAACATCACACACTCATAGCCATAGACCAAAGATGGATTGAGTACATCAGTGCATGACCTTTTGAGCCTGAGAGGCAGCCGTTTCGAGTCTATCCTCGGCATCTTGTGCTTTAGACTCTAAAACATGAAGATCGAAGTTGTACTTTCTTGATGCTTGAAAGCTGAAGATTTTAAGCTGAAACGGGAAACAAACCTTAAGAGTGAACAAAACAGACTGCAAATGATGTATCTGGGTTTAACAGAAGTATGGAACTCAAGGAATGTGAAATGTTGTGCATGAAGAACTGCTCCTGCACAGCTTTTGCAAACTTGGATACCAGGGATGGAGGAAGTGGGCGCCTGCTGTGGTTTAGTGAGCTGATTGATGTAAGAAATTTCACTGAAAATGGGCAACATATTTATTTTAGAATGGCAGCATCAGAATTAGGTATCGAGTCATTTTTAATCTCAAAAGTCAGTGTGTTAATGCAAATTTTAAAGAAAACAAGAGAAAAAAGAAACATCTTTGGATATGGAACAGTCAATTGGGAGTTATCCATCTCTTCATGATCATGTACAAAAAGTAAAGTCAAAACATAACAAACCCAAAGATTGTTACTCTATAATTTTGGATTTGGACACAATTATCAAACTCTACTTTCAAAATTCGTCTGTTAAGATCAATGGATGATAGACATTACAGAATTTCTTTTTTTCTTTCTTTATCAATATCTAACTTCTCACTCTTTTTGCTTTCAAATATATTTCCTGCCTAGATCATGAAGACTATACAACAATCAGTGCTAAACCTGCTAAACCCAATTTCCGCCCCGGGGGCTTAGACCACTTGGGTTATATTTTATAGTCTCATTGAATGTGGAGAAAGTAAGAATCATAGTAGGCAGTATTGTGTCATCTCCTGGGCTCCTCCTGGATGTAGCTCTGTTTTTTCTAATGTTTGGAAGAAGAAGCACCAGATAGATGGTAAGTTGTTTTCTAGTCTTCTTTGGAAAATAGAGAGCAACTTGGTTATTTGAAAATTTAACTACAATGGCCTATCGCAATATAGATGACATGATGTTAGAATTGAAAAATAATAAGAAATGTGTGTCAAATTATAGGATAGCACCTCCCAATTGGAGATTCTCTTATTGGTACTTCTCTTGGGCCTTTGCCTATTAAAGTCAAATGTGGGGTTCATCTCTTCTACTCTTTTTTGCCCCCATTTGGCAACTCACTTAAGTATTAACTTGAGGGGGACAAAAAAAACTGAAAGAGAGAAAAAGATAGGAAGAATTAAAACAAGTAAACAATTCAGAAAATTGCAGCTTCCTTTGAGTTGATTTGGTATTTGATTCTGGAAGACTAACCAAGTGAGTGGATGACCACAAATGATTTAGATTTTTCTACTAGAGGAACGCCCCTAATAGTCAATTGTCAGGCAAGACACCATCATTCTTGAACTAAATTTGAAGTAAGCCCACTTTTGATTGAAGAGAATTTTCTCCATTTCACACTGGAGGGTTTTGATATGCACACCTCTATCTCTGTTTCTCTAATGGCATATTAGCCATTATTAGACACAAATTGTTATGAGATCAGATTCAAATATTTGTCACCTTTTGAATCCTTCAAAATTGGAGATGTTTGCTGAAAAATCTTTGCTATCCTTCAAAATCGAAGGGTCATTGCCTCAACCTTAAAAGCCAGGTTTTTATAGTGAAAGGGATGTCAATGAACTCGAGGTCAATCCATCTTCTAAAGCATTTTCAGCTAATGAAGTCACAGTCCTTTTACACTAAGGGAGGCTCGATAAACGATATTCCAATATGAAAAGAGTTTCTATTGAAAAAAATTAGTGTATAGAAACTCTTTTCATTGGCATAACTTTGATTTTTTGGCTAGGATCTTTTCCTTCTTTTAATCAATAAGAGAAGGAAATTTTGATTTAAGTCTTCTTTTCAAATTAGAAATAAAAAATATTGTTAGTGCAAGGTTAACTGAATTTTATTTTATTTTTTCCAAAGTTAAAAGGAAGATGAGGTTTTCTCACATACTGTCTAAGTGTCATGGATGTTAGAACTTGAGATCACTGATTTACAAATCAAGATCTTTTTCACTAGATTATAACCCGTTGGTCAGGTTAACTAATTGGCTAGCAGGTTGGTGCCCTTTTACCCCCTCTATCACTTAAACCGCAAGAAACGCGCATGTCTAAACAAAGAAAAGCTTCAAGAGTCAACCAAAGAAAAGAAGAAAACTAGATCGAGTTTGTTTTTATGAAAAACAAAACAAAAGCCCCATGTCTTTGAAGTGTGATTTGCCCATACATTTACATTCTACGAAGCATGGTGTCCAAATTATTTTGGTAAACGAAGCAACAACCGCACGAGACGTGGGCCGGGGGTGCTTCTCGAGACCGGAACTTCCTTCCTATTTAGCTTCAAAAGCTTGGAGTTGAGGTGGAGTTCACACAACAGAAACACAGATGCTGATACAAGAACAAATATAAAAGCTTAAATGAATTAGATTTTTCACTTGAGGTGGTGTAATATTTCAATTTTTTTTTCTGTCCTTTGGTGCGTTGGGTTTGGGTTCCTATGCAACACGAGGAGGAGCCAAATCTTTCTTCTTTTTTCTTTTTTCTCTCAGCAAACAAGAGGGCATGATCAAATGTCAAAATCTATAACAGAAATGCAATATCCAAAGAATGAAAAGCAGTCCAACCAAGAAGAAACTAGCAAATATTAGTGAATCAGCAAAACTTATGAATTTAGCAAATAAAGATCCTGAAGCCAGTTTCAAGCAGAAAAAACTTACTTGTGTAATATGAAGAGCCTGCTCAAGGCCCTGAATTTGAATCCACTGTTCTGTAACAATGTCAGCCATCTGAAAGCAAAGAGAAAGAAGCCAATGGCAAAATGAACACCACACTAACAACATCACACACTCATAGCCATAGACCAAAGATGGATTGAGTACATCAGTGCATGACCTTTTGAGCCTGAGAGGCAGCCGTTTCGATTCTATTCTCGGAATCTTGTGCTTTAGACTCTAAAAATGGTCCTAGGCGGGCGGCTAGGCGGCTAGGCGGGCGGCGAGACGGCTAGGCGGGCGCTAGGCGGCTAGGCGGGTGCTAGGCGGCTGGGCGGGCCTCCTAGGCGGGTTGGGTCGTTTATCGTTGCCGAACCCGGAGGAATAAGCAGCCGAAACCGAAGAAAACAAATCGAAGCTTGAGTTGAGAGAGAAGCGAAACTTCGACTGCAACCTCCGTCCCCTGCGAGTGCAAGCTTCGTGTTCGTTTTGAATATATTAAAAGAGTATAGCCGCCCGGCTATACACTTAAAATATTCGAATATATTAACATTTACACTTTTAAAATATTCAAATGTATTTAGAAAGTATAGCCGACCGGCTATACGTTTAAAATTTTCTAATATATTTCGCGAGTATAGCCGCCCGGCTATACTCTTGAAATATACAATTTTGTAATATCATTTTAAGGTTTGGGGCTGAAATACCACTTTAGTCCATTGGACTAGAGCTATTTCTTCAATTATTTTATTTGTACAAGCGATATTAGGGAATGAGAATTTAAATTTTTTCCAATACCTCTCATTCTAATGATTTCCAGCTATTAGCCCATTTGGCAAGAATAAAAAAAGTGGATTTTATTTATAACAAATAGCACGGTTTGACCCAAAAATTCAACAACAAAAAATAGGATGTCAATGAACTCGAGGTCAATCCTTCTTCTAAAGCATTTTCAGCTAATGATGTCATAGTCCTTTTACACTAAGGGAGGCTCAATAAACGATATATATTTCATGTTGGTGTGTTAATTTAGTGCTTTTGAAGTCAGTTTGAAAAGTTAAATACAATTAAGAGATTCCCAACCCACGCGTTAGCAAATGCACCCTCTAAAGAAAACCTAGGTTTTATGCCTAACTATTTCCCAAGTTTTATATCAACTAGCCTCTCCACACGCGCTTCCGCCCCTGCATGATGCTTTTTTAAAAAAATTTAAATTTATTTTAGATTTATAAAAGATAATGGGTAGTTGTGTTCCATAAAAGTAGAATCTTTTATCTGATTTTTCTTTTAATTCTTTTCAATGTGAAAAAGAGTGAATTTACCATATTATCCTCATTTAATTAATAATTTCAATTCTTAATGTTTGCATTAACCAAGAGTATTTTCTGGTATTTTGAATGTTGTACCATTCTCTACATTTTGCTTTATATATTTTGATTATGGTACTTTATCATTGATATGTCCTTTTATTTTTCCATTACTCGTTTCGCACTTGGCGGTGTAAATGGCTGTAAAAATTGCTGCAAACAAGTGTGAAAGACACGTTACATGAACAGGATCCAATGCACCAAACACAGCCAACAACATTACTCCTACCAATGCAACAAATTCAATGACACATAATATGAATACAATAATACCTGCAGACAAAACTCGGCAGTTGTCCACTCCGTTCCAAATACTTGAGGATGAGAGAGTTGTCTTTTGCGTATTAGAAACATGGCCATGTCAAGGTGCTGACATTTCACAACACAACAACGACCTCAATATTAAAAAAAAATGGCCACATACTCAAAGTGATCAATTCAGAAATTTTTCGAAATAAAGCACGGTTCAAAAGTATTACCCTCGAGCTCATCCATGCAGTTTCATCTACAAGTTTGTAAAAAAAATCTGCCCCAACTACAAATGGTTCGAGCTCCAGCTCCGCACTACAAAAAAATAAACTTGCAAAGGTAAATTCAACCATAAAAAAAACTAATGGACACCTTGCATAATATGACAATGACACACACACGAACAATTAGCTACGTAGATATTGTTATTGTACATGACTGCATACATCAAAAAACATGTATATTGGTTTTGCCAAGTTACAATTCCTAACCTGATGTCACTTTTCCAAGCCTTGCAAACTTGTATCATAGCCTTCACATCGTCCATGGCCACGGGTTGTGTTGGATCAAAACAGGCCTCAGGTGTCTGTGCATGAAAACCAGTAGTCGGCCTCTTTTTCCTGGAGGGATCAGTGAATGGACTCAACAATGTTTTCGTGGGCCGCTTCAGTCTGCATCCTTTGCCTTCCGCATCTGGTTTCTGAACCGTGGCATTAGCCTCCTTGTCCCCTTCATCACCAACCAGATTTATACTAGTTTCCATGGGAGGCCTCGCCTTGCGTCCCACCCCCTGAATTTCTTTCTTATTCCAATCCTCTAACAAATTTAACATTGTTTTACAAATAACTCTGTACCCTTCCCTATCTTCCGGACTAGGAATGAGGGGATCTTCAAGACTAGGAACCTTCACATCTTCCGAAGTAGGAACCTTGTGAGGTTGTTGGTGCACTTGTTTGTCACAAACTGAAGTGTCAATTTCAGCGGCTTCGACTTCCATGGCTGGGAAGCCTTCCACAATATCAGCAGGGACTTCCGCTTCCCTTTTAGCCCCTTGTATATGCATGGCTACAAAAGCTTCCACTCCATCAGCAGGGACTTCCGCTTCCCTTTCAGCCCCTTCCACTCCACCATAGACTGTTGCTTCCATTTCAGCCCGTTCTGTATGCATGCCTGGGAAGGCTTCCACTCCATCACCTGCAACTTGTGCGTCCATTTTAGGCCCTGCTGTAGTCGGAGTAGTAAGTTCATTCAAGGGTGACATTTCATTCTGCCCTCCTTCATTCATCTGAGCAGTCCACACTTCCTCATGCCCTTCTCCACCATATAATTTTTTTAACTCCTCCATCTCCAATTTAAAATAATGTTCCACTGAAGCAATTGTTAGGGTCAAATCCCCAATAGCCTTTTTATTTCTGTCACACTCCTTCTCATGCTTCAAACAGTTCTTGTCTACAATAGCTTCCAAGTCACGAACTCTGTTCCTAAGGCCCCGATTTGAACTACGTAGCTTTGCTAACTCATCCTTAGTGCTTTCTAATTGATGCTTCAACCTGCCAAAGTCATTAAAAGACCCTTTGCCCTGCATAAAGTTATAATGCAACAGTTAGAAATCTTACAAAAGATAAGAAAACTATTTCCACTTCTTTCGTATCGTATTCTCTACATTTTCACAACATTGGAAAAAGGTCATGCTCACCTTAGAAGAGGAGGGAAGGGTAGTTGTTTCCTCAACATCCGCCTCTTTTTCTTCACTAGAAGTGCTGGTTTTGTCTTCGCCCTCATCCCCAAACAATTGAACAATTTCTTCATTGTTCTCATCATCACCCCAACTCCAGTAAGGTTGTTGCTTCTCAATATCAGTCGGCCGGAGAAGTTGCACATCAACCTCCATTTGAAACACATCTAATAAATCAGTGAACTTTTTACTTGTTCCTAATCATAACCTGAGTAATACAAACTGAACTAACCTCAAAGTTTTCATAAACCTGACTCATAACCTCCCAAAAACGGGCCACCGTGTTGCTCCTCCAATGTAATATTCGAGGGATGTGCCTATTGTCTTCATGGACCGTGAAATGCAATGCTTCCAATGCTGGGAAGACTTCAAAAGCCCAAATCTGTTGACAACAATCAAACATCAAAATCTGTACATGTATTTAAATGAACTAAAACATTGTTGGATATGTGTTCACCTGAAGAGCGAAGCCAAACCCCCTTATGATGTACTCTCTGGCTCTACTGCATTCCATTCTTGTCTGCGCTCTCTTCTTCCCACGTTTGTTGGGCTTTTTTTCTGTTTTGGGGCACCTTCACTCGTTGGTAATCAGGAGAAACTGCCCTCAAAAGTGAAGCATTTGTCATCGCATATGACACGGCACCCTATGGATACTTGTCAAACTCTTCTAAGTCTTCGGCCAACTTCAAATAGCGCATGTCAATAAGCACATGCTTTTCAATACCCAATAGCACAAAAATGGCAAAATAGACCATTCCAAGCTTTAACGCATCGTCATCATCTGTGCACTCGATGAAGGCAGTGTGTAGGTCCAAAAGGGTGGGAGGTTTATTGCTACTGAAGTATTTTCGCTTCAAGGAGCAGTTTTCATTTGTCGCCTTCGGAATGAAAGGGAGCTTTCCGAACCTTAGGCCCGTGATGAGGCAAAAGTGTTGGGCTGTGAATTGTATCAACTTGTTACCCACAATGAATTTTATCCCGTTCACCTGTGTAACTGTCTTAGGATCAGCCTTCCTCATCAACAGCCCGTGGACAACTTGTGAATTCCACTTCAGGTCCTCTATCAGTAATAGATGACCAAAACAACTCCCCTCGAACCTCTGTAACTGCTGCGTATTGAACTTCGCCTTTATTGTTGTAATGGCGGTCCTTGCGTGTGAAAGGGCAAATGGCTTTCCTTCGTACTTCTCATCCTCAGGAATCATAAGCTTTGCTTTACAAGCCATTCTAGAGTTCCCTGCACAACAACATCATACATATGGATCATTGGTTACCCATATTTCATACGTACATTACTCAAACTAATACTTTCAAGTCATTTAATATATGTATATACATATGACAAAACCAGAATTGTTTTGAAGCCTCTTTTCTACTCTCCAACTCTCTCCACACTCTGCTGTTATCTACATTCCCTTCTACAAAATCTATATTCGATTCCATCCAAAAACCAAATACCACCCAAGTGTGAAAACAAGTTCATGAACCACGGATCCACTTCATACAAGGTTTTGGCGAAATGGCTACAACAATTACTCCAAATGCATCAATGCGTACTAAAATCTACTCATTACCATAGTCATATACATGTCTACTCATGGAACATCAGTATTGGCAGTTATGGACTCTGTGTACAAACTAGACACGTCAAAATGTTACTGCAGCTGCAACTGCTAAACATAGCTGGATGAACATGAAATTTCTAAACAGATACTAAAGCCCAAGAAAATACCATTTTCAGACATATATGACAAGCTGCAAGCAAGGACTAACAACAAAATTTAGCAGGTTTTATAGCACAGGGAAAAGAAACATCCCACGCCAACTTACATTAGTATTTCAAATTCACATAATTAACCATTAAGACTGGAAGGGTGCAAAACTATGCTACTAGGTGCTGAAACAGCAATGATACCAACAAATTTACTTATGCATTATTACTCAACAGCTAATTTAGGGCCTAGTGAGGTAAACCTGTGTTATAATGGAATAGCCATTGCCACCAGAATAAATTCCCACACTAAATATGCATCATCAAATGGAAGTGAAAACACGCATCACAAACGAACCAATCCCAGATGACAAATACCAACTTAAGGCACTTCATCGTCCACAGAGCAAAATCAATACACCAATACAAGTTTCATCCAAGCATGAAATAATTCACAGTTAAAATACATTATTATTGCAATCTCTGTAATTACTAAACTTCACAACATCAGTCACAGGTTACTGAAATTATCCTTCTCAAATGAAAACCATACAAATGCACAAACTAGTCAATAACAAATACAAAACCAACCTTAGAATCACTCGTTTTGTGCACAGAACCGAATTGGAAATCCGAGCAACACCTACAGAAAATCGCGATTTTTGTCTCTGACAGGATTGAGCAGGAGGAGGAAGTATGTGAACTAAGTCTGAACCGAAACCAGGATTTAGGGTTTTTTGAGGCCCTGAAGGAGCAGAGGAGAAGAGAAAGACTTCGATTCAAGACATGAAAAGAGAGGGAACTGAGAAATCGTTTAAGGGAGATAACATTTAACGAAGAAACCCTAAACGTCAATAACCGCCTCCCCAAACCCTAACATTGACGGCAGAGAGAGAACGAGAGAGTGCTGCTTAGATTTTGGGGACAGAGGGAGACATAGAGTGGTGGTGGCCGCTGGAGAGAGAAAGCGCCGACAGAGAGGAAGAGACGACCGTCACACAGAGCTGAGAAAGACAGAAGTGTTAGGTCGCCAATCCATGGCCAATAACTCCCCAATAGATATGTTTTTATATGGAGGGCACTTCGGTCATTTCACGTCCCCAAGTGATTATATTAGAATACAATTTGTAGCCTGATTATTTCAGCACACCATTTCTGATTTGTGATTACACCAGCTTATTTCCCTTTATTTTTTTGAGGAGAAACGATAGTGAATTATTGATAGGAGGAGAACCAAGATTACAGAATGGTCCGACAATATCTCAAAGGTTAGATGAATTTCTCTAGCAGAACCAACAGAGTAGAGAAAACCCGTCACCCTAAAAAGCTTCCCGTACAAATTAACGATTACAATTCTCAAACAAGACATCAGAAATAAAGTCTAGGGGTTCTTCAAACCAAGTTACATATACCAATAGTGTACTCTTGTATTCGTATAATACTTATTTTTGAGTAATTATAGTGTGGTATTGGAGTAATGTATAATTTATCTACGTGTAACCTCCCAAACTATAAAGAATTTTTCTAATTCATACATGATTTGTCGGACATTTACAAACGCATACACAAACTCCTAAAAATCCTACATTTAAACCACTTTGTTAACCAAACATTAGCAAAGACAATTAAATGCCTAGGTGGCTATCGTTTGCATTTTATAAAAAATAAAAAATAAAAAATAAAGAATTATAAGCCTAAAAAACAACGTAACTTTGATCATTAACACAGATCAACATAGAAATTTAAAAATAAAGAAAGAAGTTACAATACCATATTAATATTATTGCATGCGTACTTGCATTTTTGTTTTTGTTTTAATATTGAATGCGAATGGCCCTCGAAGCCTTCACTAATTGAAAGGGTAAAGCATGTCATAGAGCCGGCCTTCAGCATATGGCACCCAGTAATAAAGAGTCTAAATTATTTTTAAATTAATACAGTTTAAACGATGATCAATCTTTAATGGTTACAGCAAAATTTACATATCCATACTGTCGATTTTTTCAAAGGCATTAGTTATCTCTCTTTGAGGCTGTAAAGGGCTGAGTGTAGTTACATAATTATCCTTGATTTTCAATCATAATTAAATAGAGGGTTTATCTAGGCCTTAAGCAAGCTATAGAAAATGAACTCCCCTAAGTCACCATGTCATTGCTCTCCCTTATCATTTTCTCAAACATTTGTTCCATTGCTCAAGCTTAAGTTCCCACAAATCAAACTTTCAAGTTTTTCAAGAGAGGAGAGTTTGAAGATCCTCTCCAAGGATATATATACCATTTCCTAACTATTCTCTTGTAGAATATGATGCTACATATCGAGTTCTCAATGTTTCTAACTACCCCCTTCAACTTTGCTTCTACAACACCACCCCCAACACCTTCACTCTTGCTCTGCAAATGGGAATTTCTTCAAGTACTTAAAACCACCCTTGCTTGGGTTTGGGAGGTCAACCGGGGAAACCGGGTTGGCGAAAACGCCACTCTCACATTCGGGACAGACAGCAACCTTGTTTACCGACACGGATGGCCGAGTGGCATGGCAAACCAACACTGAAAACAAAGGTGTGGTAGGCCTCAAGCTGCTTCCAACTGGAAACATGGTCCTCTACAACTCAATGACCAAGAGCAACTTTATTTGGCAAAGCTTTGACTACCCAACAGACGAGCCTCCGTGAAAGAAAATTATAATGGAGCTTATAGCTTGATTTTGGGGCCTAAAGGATTGGTTATGCACTATAAGAGCAAGAACTCTCCAAAGCCTTTACCCTATTTGAATATGAGATCTGATATAACCGAATCATGGGACCATATGACATTGAATTGCACCCCGGACACATATGAGGGCCATGCCTATGACATAAACTTAGATCCAGGCCAAGCCATCTTCTTATGCTACAAAATTCCTTCTGGCTAGACCCAAATACAACAGCATGCTTTCGTTCCTGAGGCTTGAAATCGATGGAAACCTTAGGATTTACACTTATGAAGACGTAAATTGGGGTGCATGGGAGGTAACCTTCACACTTTTCAGTAGAGATTTACCACAATGGGAAATCAGTGAGTGTGAATCGCCCGAGCGATGTGGGAAGTTTGGCCTTTGTGAGGACAACCAATGCGTTGGTTGCCCATCGTCCAAGAGACTATTGATTTGGAGCAAGAGCCGTGTGCCTAAGAAGCTAAGTTCTTGCCTTCTTGCGAGGCAAACAGCTTTCATTACTATAAAGTTGAAGGAGTAGATCACTTTAGCAAAGACACAGAGGGATATGGTGTGAAGGAGAATGTGTTAATGTATGGTTTTTACTATTTTCTTTTGGCTTCCCTTGACAACTTTGTAATAGGATGTGTAATGTAATTTATCAAGCTCAAGTCTAGATTAGGGAAAACTTTTATTGGTGCTCTTCTCTAATCTCTGCTCTATGGTGGCTCAAGCAAGTTGACAAAGGTATTGAGCATTGCATATCATTACATAAAACAGTCTTCATAAAAAGATGACTAGTCAACCGTTTCTCATATGACTAGTCATCCTTGCCTCCAGCTGGATAACAAACTGTTTTGTCCTATTCTTCTTTCTCTCTCTCTGCTGCCAAGTGGGTTTTCTGACCTAACGAATTTGTTGGTCTGTATAGCCCACGATATTTCTCATTTGGCAGTTGTCTCTTTCGGGTGAAAGTTTTGGAAAGTTTGGCTTGCCATCTTTCGCTTCTTCTTCCACGAGAGAACCATCTTATTTCATCTATGAGTTTTTCCAATTGATTTCTTTTTGAAAAACTGCATTTGAAACACAAATCTGCATCTAGCTATTTA